TGTGTAGAATTCAGAAATGCAATGAAGGCAATACTTTGTTTGCTTCGGGCTCAAGCAAAATCTTCGGTGGGCCAATATCTTAGCACCCGTTCGCTTTACTGCTACATCTCTGCTGCCCTTCCCTCCTAGTCAAAAAACAACACTCTCGTTGCTAACATCTCGAACTGGCGTGTGTACCCAAGCGAGATTCGCAGAGGCATGTCCTCACAGAGGTGAGAGCTGGGACTTCTTCAAACCATGATGTCCTGCACTTGAGCACAAACACAACCCAAGCCGCGAACTGACTTTTGACGAGCGACGCATCAAGTTAAGGATTAGCATCGTGTATCTGAAACCTCCTCCCCTCTGCCGAAATCCGATTTGGAGGCCGCCTCAGGATGAGCGTCGCGATGCAGACCACAGCCAGACCAGTGAAAACGCCGACGCTAAAGCCAAGGTCGCCGCCTCAGTCATCTCATGGTTCAGACGAACGCTATGAATATCTCGTTTTGAGTGACATCCTTTTGGAGCTGATTGAAAGGGACATCACTGGGAAACCAGCCAAGCAGCCATTTTGGGGGGGGGGGGGGGGGCCTATTGCGAGCCAGCCCCCCATGGCGTTTGGTGACCGAGCCTTGTTTTTTGCCTTTCTCCGCGTCTACCACAGAAGCCCTCGCAAAATGGCCTCGCAAGTGAGTCAAACTTACAACCTGACAATAAAAATGGTCTACCCAAAACCATCGTAAAGAATTGTTATGTTGGGACTACTCACCTTCCAGGGTCTGACTATGGCTGTGAAGAGGGTCATGAGACGCATGCGTCAGAGACACCAAAAAATCCACGATGCCTGCCGAATCGCATGCATTGAACGCAGTTCAATCTACCGTGCGACATGGCAGTCTGCTGGCTCTTTCATTTTTTTTCTGCTTCGGTTTTCAAAACTTGGCACCAAAATGGCACGGGTGTCTTTTTGCTTTGGTGGGTTTGAAAAACGGAAACGACACGCCCAAGTTCCCCAAGGCCTTCTATTCCCCCAGCCAAGCGGCAAGGCAGGTCTCAAGCACCCCACACATATATGGTTATTTCAATCAGGGACCCTGTGGAAATTAAAACACCATGGGGATAAATGTCCAGCTTGAGGGTGTTCCCTTTTAAATTCATGGTTGATTTGTATTTCAAGTGAGCCTGGAGCAGAGAAACACATGATCGTCTTGGCGTCGTGGCTTCCGTGATTCTTGCAGGCATGTTGGTAACGTCACATGTTGGTTTCGGATAGGTGCAAGCAGCCGCAAACAAATCCATGAAATGCGCGAACCAAGGGATTCTTGGCGGATCGGCATTTCATCTACAGTCTGTTCGGCAAGAAAAGTACTAGTAGCTGCCCCAAAGGCTCCAGAAGCCAAGCGATCAAGATTACAAGCCTTTCCCCAAATCAAATAACCAATATAACTTTACTTTTCCTCTGAGTTGTAAAAAGCCAAGCTTCCATTTGCTGAAGTCTTCGGGAAATCAAAAAAACATCTCCAGTGAAAGATTCCCCTCAAAACCAACAAGGGGAGCAACAAAACGCATCTTCAGCTCATGGACGCGGTTCTCAAGCCTCCAAGTCCCCTGAGCTCCCTGGCCCACCACCACGAACTGGCCCCGCCCCGTGCTTCGCAAGGACTCGAAGTCGATGCGAGCCTGGCGCCGCGGGCTCGAGTCGCAGCGTGGAGTCGGACCGTTAAGCCCGAAGGACCCAGACATAGAGCTTCACCCTTGGCAGCAAAAAGTGTTTTTCTATTTTGCCGCCCCCTACTAAACATGAACAGAGCCAAAAACACAAAAAAAAATGAAAAAAAAAACAAAAAAAATGCCAAGTTGACATGGAAGAAAAGACCGACAAGGTTCACCTCACAATAAAAAGCCGGGAAAAAAAGGAAGAAAAACAAAGTAATTACCCCTGCACAAGCCCACAGGACTCAAAGGACTCAAAGGACTCAGAAAGAAAAGCTTCGCCTGCCGCAAGCTGAACCTTTGCCATCGTTTGGTGGCCAAGGTCTTGTGCCGTGGGTTGCCTTACCCTGGCAGTCATTGCGCAATATCGGTACGGTTTAGTGGGCTCCGCCGGTCACGAGTTACCGATGCCTCACTTACCCAAAGCGAATCGACCTTTTAAGCTTTGGGCTTTCCCTCTTTGGTGCAAAGATCATCACACTTGTCAAACTAAGAATGATGAGAATTGGGGGACAAGTCCCTGGCTTTTGTGGTTAAAATCCAGAGCTCGTCCCCCTTGTCACGACCCCAAAATTGACAAATCCGAAAAATGTCCGACCAAACTTCCTAGGGCAGCGAGCCGCCTTTAAGTACAAACAGGGGGTCCTGCAAGACCCGAATTGTTCACTCGGAGGCCTCGGTGGAGTATCTCTCCACCCACTCCGGGGTCTGGCCCATCCTGGGTAGTCGGAAACGCGTTGTTTCTATCCTTTGGGGTTTTCCCCAAGCAAAACAAGCAACTGATTTTGAGGTGGCATCCCCCAAGAAGGATGCCTTCAAACCAACCGTTGCTCTTCCTTTCTGCAGGATCCCGGGAAAAGAAAAGGAACACTCAGATATCTAAGGGTTGACTACCCATGTCTACTGCTTCTGCGGGTCATTGTCTGAAGAGAAGGATCCCTGGACATAATTGGCAGGGTACAGCTATAGCGGTGGGATTGTGCCTGAGACTCGGTTGAACAGGAAACTTAAGTCCCACCCGCCCAGCCACCCACCTGCGGCAGAAAAAAAAAAAAAAACAGAACCAAATGGAAACCAAGCAACCAAAGGGGTGCCGTGTTTAAAACAAAAAATGAGCCAGGGACATGAACGGCTTTCCACACGAGGCTTCCAAGTGGCTTGAGCTCAGATTCATGTCTTCAACTCATCTGGCAGAACACTGCAATTCCCGAGGAAATCAAGGACCTCCCCGGTACTTGCCCATACTAAGCAGAATTAAAAACACATCATGAACTTCCCCTTCAAAAGTTAGTACAACACGCAATTGAACAAGGAACCCCCCTGCCCAGTAAAGACCCTCGATTCAGCTGGAAAAACCAAAAGAATCACCCAGAAATGAGTTGACTCAAAATAGGGGGCACCCAAAAAAGTTGGTGTCCTTTTGGCTGCCCTTTAAAACAAGCAAGAGTTGGTACCCTTAGACGAGCCCTGTCTTCATCCCCAAGTCAAGAATTCGGTCGCTTTGGGCGCCAGGCGCAGCCCAGTACATGGCGCCGATGGACCAAGGCCTTAGACGTTTGCGGGGACTCACATTCCCCGCAAAGAGATACCCGTCCTCCCACAAACATGACGCATGCGTGAGAGGGCAAGAGGATGAGTACTTCCTTTGCAAGTGGCCCTCTGTCAGGTGCCATGTTGGGAGGGTAGCTGTTGCTTCAGATTACTGTTCTTTCCCTTATGGAGGCTAGCAGAGGGTGCAAATCTGCAAGTCTGCAGTGACTATGGGGAGAATGGAGTCATGGAGGGACCAATATTTAAGACCTTAACAGTCTTGTCAGAGTATTTTTCTCTGTCCCCTTGCTCACTTGCCGCCTCTGGATGCGTGACACTGCTCGACTGCTTGCCCTAGAATGCTCCTCGCAAGACAGCCACGGACTCAAACACTCCTGGCACTTCCAAGGTTTCTCGGAAACAAATGCCCTCGAACAGTACAGAATTTGGGCTCGAGTTGTGCAATTGTTCCGTTGGAACGCTTGCTCTGTCACTTCCGGGTCTAGCTGGCAGCTGGATGGTCGGGCACAGCACAAAATAGGCGGCGCACGAAGCGCTGGCTCGGGCGGACATTCTCCGAAAATCGTGGTTGATCCAACTAGAGCCCAAGCCTGTAGCTTGAGCTTCGACATTCGGGTTGGCCGTGGGGTGTTATTGCATCAGATTGCATCAGATGCGATCCAGGTCGCCTTTCGAAGCCGTAGCCGTGGCACACAACTTCAAAAATCAACAAGAGCAAACATCATGCAAGCCCTCGTAAAGCTTGCAGCTTCGTTGGTTGACAGCATGGTTGACAAATGTTGGACAACAAAACGCCACACCAGAGGTCTTTGCAAATGCGTTCCTTCATTGCTGGAGCCCACTGCTTTTCTGTTGCCAAAGCAAGACTTGCGATCCTCGCGCCTAACACTTCAGCCTCATCTGACAGAGTTTGACTTCAAAGGAGTGCTCATGGAGTTTTCACTCGCAGACATCTCCCTTGCCTGGGGCATTCCCGCCTTTCTTCGACAGCACAGGGCAAAGGACCTCCCTTTGTGCGGAACTGGAGCACGGTGGTAGAGGATTCCCTCAATATCACACATTAGATCATGGCTGTGCAAAACCGGCATTGCAGCATTTGTGTATACCAAGGGAATCCCCTAGTCATAATGGGACTCCCATGTGTAATGGATCAGGAAACCAAAAGTAAGTTGCCACGACGAGGGCGCCCAACGTCTTATCAGGGTTTCGCTGGGCTGCCGGGCAGGCCGAGGCCCAAGAAGACGTTCACCGAGTTGCTGCCCGTGATGTTGCCGATGGAGGCATCCGCGTAGGGATCCTGGTCACCACCAAAACGCGCCCGAGGGAGCACATCAGGGTTGGCTTTGCGAGTGCCGCTGGCGTTTAGATTTAGGCTTGTTTACATAACGGAAAAACACAAAAGGGTAAGTTACATGCTTTTAACAATCCCCCCATTTTGACAGAGAGAGAGAGAGAGAGAGAGGGACTGTGCCAGTTCCGGTCTGCCTTGGTCATGCAGGAGCATCCCCAAGGCCAGGTGAAGTTAGCACGTGCAAAGCAAGCGCCATGGGTGTCTGGGTATGTGTCAAAGTTGGGGGGGCCCCAAAATGTTGGTTGTCCTTTTGATGTCCCTTTCAATCAAGGTCAAAAAGGGTGCCCTGCAAAGAATACTCCACCCGAGCGGGAACAACAATACACAGGAAACTGAAGTGTTGGATGCCAGATGCTCAAAGAAGCGGCTCAATCGCTGAAATCCTTTCCTTGCACATTGGACATCTCCCGATATGCCTTCGGAGGCCTGTCCATGCTGATTCCTGATTCGTTGGGGTTTGGCCAAGACGAATATAGTTTTCTTTTTGCGGGCAGCAAAATCTTTCAATATGGAGTCCAAACAGGGCAACCCCCAACATGGTTGGTGTCCTTTGGGCTTCCCTTGCAACAAACCCAAAAAATGGGTACCCTCCAAAAGAAAAACACCCACAAACACATGCACGCAAGGGAGTCCAGATTCAATTGAGTCTTTGGTACCCTTCAACCAAACCTTTCTCCCCCCCAACTCCCCTTCAAGTTGCCCAGAAGGTGATCATCAAAAACAGCAACAGTCGCGAAATCTAGGGAGCCCCCAAGTGCACTAAGGCATTGTAACAGAACCGTGAAACCCCTCATCCGTCCAATCCTTGGCATGTGAGCCAAGAAATGTGTCTTTTGTCACCCACCAAAAAATTCACTGAAACCAAAAACTGAGAAAAAACAAAAAAAACTGTAAAATGAACAGCTCCAAACAAACCAAAACCAAAAACCTCTTTGCTTGCATTCACATGTTGAACAGAACCCCCCCCAAAAAAAAAGAGAGGTCAAGGATGCCAAGGACCTTGTTCGCGGCCTTCCCCCTTGCCCCGCACGTCTCCCGCTTCCCGCCTGCTGCGCCGCGGTCTTCGAGGCGAAGGTGTCCGGCAGGGAGGTGCCCAGCGCCACCTCGGGCTCTTCGCGCGGTCGCCCGGGCGGGGACGCGCTCCATGGAAAAAGACAGGGGGAACCTGTGAAGAAACGGGGAAAATTGGGAAAATGGGGGGGGGAGGTGAAAATTGGGGGGGGGGGGTGTGGGAGACTGGAAAAAAGAGGGCGCAAACATGTGAATCGACGGACAAATTGGTGGGAATATGCATGGAAGAAGCGATGGATGTTGGGAAGTGATTGGAGAAATTGGGTGTGATATGAGAAACAACGCTGGACATACATTGAGAACAGTTTGAACACTGTGCCTTGATGTCCCGCATCTTGAGGAGCCCGTTCAAAATAAATGACTCTTGGTTCCGTTCGCCGCAGCTTCAGTGTTCAGTAAAAAGCTGGTCATTTGCGGTGCGGAAGCGACGCCACAAGGTTTGCAGATGCGCAAATCCCTTGAGAAACTATGAATTCGAGGTGAAATGGCTGCGGCCGCGGCTCAAAGAAAGTACCAAGACGGTGCCTTGATAAATGGAACCAACTAAAAACCTGCGTAACTCTAGCACTCTGATTTTGAGCCACACCCAAATACGAGATTCCAGCCCAACACTCGGCATGGCCCTGTTCGCAAAAGTCAACGAGGCGCCGCGGCTCGGCATGGCAGATGGCTTCTTGTCTTTTACCCTGAAGGAATGTGCCACACTGGACAGCTTGACAGCTTGTGCCCATGGTTCATGAAGAAACATGCTGCCCGGCCTTTGAACCTCCGCTGTGGTGGCTTTTGGGATGAGAGAAGATAGCGAGAAGAAGAGAAGTGAGCATTCCAAGAGCTCCCCGCTCTGCAGAGTAACATGGAACCCAAAAGCCCTGAATGTTTGAGGAATCCCCTTTTGAGATGACTTCTTTGGGTTCCGTGCTCACTTGCAAGTGCCGTGACACAAGAACAAGTCAACAGTTGAAGACATGACACACCAACGCAAACGGAGGGCTCACACGTTTGCTCTGGTTTCCTATCATGCCCACCAAAGGGAACCTCACATCGGCCAAAAGCCGAACTCCCGCTTGGCCCCAGGCGAGTGTAATGGCAGTAATGGAGTCGCCCAGGCCCACCTTTTCAATCCATGGGTATTGTCAAAATGGGGGGGAGGGGGACCGGCTTCCCAAAAGAAGGCATCCCTTAAAAAGGGAGACACCACAAATGGGTGGCTTTCTTTTTGGGTCTCCCTTTCAACCAAACTGAAGAGGGACATGTGCCCCAAAGGTTGCTCTATCTAATTATCGCAGCAGCCATTCGGATTGCTTGTGGGCCTGTCTACTCCATCGTTCGCCAGAGTCTTTACCGTGTTGGTACTTCTTCCCGGAGAAGCTACTGTTGGCCATTCTTCAAGTTGTAATTTCAGTGTGATGCTGTTTTGGTCCATAGTTTACAAAAAAGCAAAACAAACCGGCCCTAATGTTTACTTCTTTTTGGCCGGGCACACCAATGCGGACACACCCACACACAGAGAGGGAAAGCGCCGCACTCTGCGCTAAAGTAATGAGCAATCCGCTAGTGCCATGAGTCTGGCAACCCAAGCCTACGAAGTCTGAAGACAAACTTAGATGAAACGCCAAACCTAGATCTTGGCCACTCTGCTAGCCTTGGCCCGGCCATGTAAAAGTCAATGCGTTTTGGGAGAGGTCAGGGGTCATCAGGCACGCTGCATTCCTTGCGGAAGGTACAAAAGTGGAATTCCCATCCGTCGCTTTCAAGGAATGGTCTAGGCACGGGAGGCCGGACTGCAGATCGCTCATGTTGGGCCATATTTTTGCTCATGTCCCAGTCCGTTTTTTGGGGCCATTCGGGCGGCCCGCGCTCATGGAGGGTCTTAATTTCTTGCTTGGAAACATCTACTGAATCACGTCAGACTTGCATGAGTGAGCAATGTGTTTCCCTGAAGGTTGGCTCGAAACTAAGGGCGGTTTCGGGCACTGGGGCACTGGTCCCTCATAATGGTTCGTGAGTTTGTAAGGGTGCCCAATTTTCAGTCCCTATAGGGGAGTGTGTCAAAAGAGGCGTACCGGAAAATGGTTGTTCCTTTTGCTTCCCTGGTAAACCGACCTGAACAGGGTACCCGGGTCCCGCAACAAAAACCCACGCGACTACTGTGGTGGTTCTGCATCTTGTGCTCCACGGATCGCAGAGCTAGAGAGGGAGATAGAAAGAGAGAGAGAGAGAGAGAGAGAGAGAGAGAGATAGAAAGACCGAGAGTGATCCTTCTGCAGTAGAATAGAAGCTGCAAGTCAACAACTGCTTCGCGCGGCGCATTGCGCAGAGCAAGTCCCGCGCTTCGCTGAGGCGAGTGGCGTCACACAGGGACAAGATTCGCATAAATGGGGCCCGACTCACGTGACACCGCCCAAACCAAACATAAAGCATGCAGCAAGGAGAGCAATGTGCAGAAGCCCTACATAGAAAGTTCAACCAGGACTGAGGTGGAGAATGACATGTTTGTTGACTCAGCATTCCTCAAACTTTGGGCTGAGCCTGCTATGCAATTCAAACAAATCAGAGCTTTTACCTTCCCTTCAACATGATGATGCAACAACGCGTGGCATGACTATCCTTCCATCTGCTACAACGATGGCTAACCCAAAACTGTGTAAAGAATTAGCGGCTTGATTGTGGCTCCTATTTCTACATGAGTAGTATGTCAAAATAGGGAACCCCCTATGGCTTCGGCCCCAAAATGGGTTTGCTTTTGGTTCCCCTGTCAAACCACTCCAAAACGGGTACGGAGCAAGGGCTTACCAAGTCAAGACCACTGACCCCTTGCCTTGGCCTAACATAGCAATGGATCAAAATCCCGCACCCCCAGTGAACATCCCACTAACATAGGTTCTAAAATGGGTGGCGCACCTCCAAAATGGGATCCCAAAACGGATTTGACCCACGGCCAATGGCAATAACCCGCGCCTTCCAAAAATCTGAACCGCTTTTTCCTATGGTGTCCCCCATGAAAGTACCCCGGTCGAACCCGAAGACCTGCAGGCCCCGAAGCCAGGGCCCCGGCCACGCACCCCAGGAGCCCCGCCAGGTCCGCCACCAAGGCAGTGACCAGGCCGATCCTTGGGAAACACGACCGATCCTCAAACAAAGGGAAGAAAACAAACTGGGAAATGCTCCCCCTCCCGAAAAAAGGCCTCTCACAAGCCCCGCCAAAATGTCCATCCGCGGAAATGCTCCCAAAAGAAAAAAATGGCAACACCAAAACAAAAAAACATGGAACAAGTCCAACCGTCTCGAAAAACCGAACGGAAATGGCGTGGACAAGAACCATGTCCCCCATTCTCAACCCATCTTGTAAAGATGGATTTGTGCAACCCAAAAGTTTGTTGGCATTGAAAAGACTGGAGAGTCACCAAATCTTTCAAAACGCTGCAGAGGCGTGCGGCGCGAAAACATTCAGGAGCTGCAACTAGTGTCGCAGGTCTGGAACTGTAAGCAACTGGGAAATGTAAATTCGATTAATCAAAGCAAGTCTTTGCCATGCCCTTTGGATGTTCTTGACTATATCTGCCGTTTATACAATATGTATATATATATATACATGTCTTGCAAATGCCTGAACGAGCCCTGAAGTTGAGCGAAAACGATTAACTGCTCGCTCCATTGAAAGTAATGTGAGGGCCGACTAATATCTTTGATGACAATGATCATTTAGCTTCAAAGTACCAGACTCATCTCAGTCCAATTTATGACGCATCTCGCATTAATCTGGAGGACCATGCTCAGGGGTGGCTGGCCTTGTGGGTATCGATTTATTTGGGGGGATTCCTCTGATTGGCTCACTGGACTCCAAACTTAACATTGGGCAAACAACTAAAGCCAGGGCACATGCCCAGAGAGCAGCAGAAGCAGGCCCAGCCCCCGCAGTAGTCCTGCCAACTCCAGCCAGATTTCCATGTAAATATGTTTATTTTATTATTATTTTTTAAAAACAAGGAGATCTGGGCGTGTCTTGCAATTGGTCCTTCTGGTGTCCCTTTACCAGCCCAACAAGGGAACCCCAAAAAAAGTCATACCCACCCTTTTTAGTGGAACCGGGAGGTCACCCTTTTTGGGGTTCCTGCAATCTATTTCCAACCATGAAACTGGTCCAAGACCCTTCCATCGCCCACTTTCATGGTTGGAAGGCGGATCTCTCAGATGCTACCGTGGATCTCTTGGATAGCAGGCCGAAAGCCAACAAACCTGTTTGGGAAAGATACCTAAAGTGGTGCAAGAGAAGGGATGCACTGGAGCAGCGCCCTTTGACCGGGTCCCTCGACGTTTTGACGCCCATGCTGTGTGGCGCAATGGCCCTCCGAAGATCCCAACCAAAGAGCAACCAAGTACGCATCAACCCAAAGTGGGAATTCCATACCGACTACTTTCCAACGTCAATGGCAATCTCAAAAGCCAATGTCCCACCACCATGAGGGTCTGTCTCCAAAGGGAAGAAACTCTTTTGATGGACAGTCTTAAAGGAAACGGAATGGAACAAACCGCTTGGAGAGAGGTCCTTAGTTTTGAGACACACCCAGGAGTAAAGAGGACCGAAACGGCATCCTAGGGCAGGCTGAGGCCAAAGCAACGCATCCAACATTGCTGCATCCATCAAGCTACAAACAGCACAGCAGGGTTGCACCAACCCCTTGTTTAAAGGTGTTGAAACCACGACTGTGTCAACAACCTGCTCCCTTTTGGTTGCCCTCTAAAGGGTCCCCACTGTCCACTTTCCATGTTTTTTTCCCACTGCAGCTGTGGGAAGTGCAGTTTTCGTAGGCGAGCAGCATTCCCTCAATTTCCTTCAAAGCCCTACCCCTGAAAATGAGGCCGAAAAAAAGGTGATGCGTCGAAGAACCGCCAAAACCCCACACCCCTCCTCAAAAAAAAGGAGACACGCCGCTCCCCGGCTCCGGGTTATTCAGCGAGCCCCGGGAAACCTAGGAGTTTCTTCCTCGAGACGAAGCGTTTCGGAGCTCCGGCGGCGGGATCAGCGCGAAGATCACCTTCCAGAAGACCGAGATGATCTCAGGCGAGCCAGCGCTGAAGAAAGCGGAGGGCCTTTTTTTTGTCTGCGAATTGATGGGAGATGCCCAGGGCAGGAGGAAAAGAAACGTTCTGTACTACAAAAGGAGATTCCAGATTCTATCAATGTTGGCTGCGTGGGGCGATGTAATCTGTGCATGTCCTGATAGCAATCATGAATTCGCAAGATTCCCAAGAAGGCTTGGGCAGCACTTTTAGTGCTCACACTTCCCCACCATGCACTGATACACTGCGATATACTCGAAAAAAGAATGCGAAACAGAGGTACTAGAGTATCCATGACCATCAGTGCCAACCCCAAGTAAGGGTTTAACCATGGCATATGTTTGATGGGCACCCGCCCAAAAGAATGGTCGCAGGGGCTAAAACCCCCGTGGTGTAGCAGCCCTCCAAACAACCATAATGACAGGAATGTGGACTGGTCTAGGAACTAGACGTCAACGAAAAGGCAAGTTCATGAACACAGGAGTGTGTAGTTCATGGGTGTGTCGTTTGTTAGGGCACCCTCAAACTGGTGGTTTCAAATGGGAACTGAACTAAAAAATGACACCCCCATCCGGCGTTGTGGCCTACATCTGCCTGGGCACATATGGGAAGAAATGTCTGGAGCATCAGTGAATCCTGTAAAATCCAAAGTAGCTGGCTCACATGAATCACCATGGGTTGTAGTGCGTGTCCAATGTTCAGTGACATCCCCAAAGTTGACCCTCACAACGGTGGTTGAAAGCGAAACCAGCCCCAAAAGTACTTGTTCGAACGCCACAGAATTCTGAATCTTCTCTTTAAGGGGCAGAGTCGTGCCTGCGTGTCCAACCAGCTGCGGGAAAAAAAGCAGTGGCATACGAGAGCCGCTCGCAAACCTGGCGCCCGTCACCGAGCTCCGTGCATGCATAACCCAGTCCTGAGCGGAGACGCGGGGCGATCCGAATCCCACCCAGTGACTTGCGATTCCAGAGGCATTGCACCACATCTGAGCGACAAGTTGCCCGCCTTCTTGCATTCAGCAATCAGCTTGGAAAAGGATTCTAGAACAAGACTTGAGTTCCCCTGCAAAACAAACATGCGACCAGGGCCGAAACTGGAAAAGCGTGTCTCCTCCCACAGCATTAAGACAGTCAAACCAAACCATCGGCTAACAAAACCCATTGATGGACAAAAGCTCGCTCACAGCCCGATCAAGCCCGATTCTCTCTTGAATAGGACACCGTCATCAACCCTGGAAATATATATATATAACATATATATACAACAGGGTTCCCCAATCCCAGTTCGCCTACTATAGTGGCAACTGGGTTCCCATCAAACTGGGATTTTGGCGGCTCGAATTCTTGTGCAGCAGAGTAGCATAGACACCCGGCTGCTCCTGAGCGCGTCACGCCCGTGGAACCCTGTGGAAGGTACCCAACAACCCAAACACAATGATGGGGCCTTCGGATGTCATCAATCTGCCGGGAATGTCTGGCGAATTGCGTGGAGTGCCTGGAAAACGCACTAAACGGGCTACTTGCTGTTGACCCGGGTCTTGATGTGGTGCCAAAACACCTCCTAAAGCGGAAGAGCCACTTCAGCCTCCTTCGCTCGCCAACACTCTGCTACTTGGATGGAGCACCGCGGCCAGTGTGGCCCCCCTCAACTCGGCTATAGCTCGCTACTCCATGGCGAAATCAATCTCTCAACAGCCAGTGGGCCCAGCAAGTGAAATCGGTTCACGCAACCCTTCTCTGACTTGAACCGCACGGGGAGACCCTCTGGACATGCAAACGCCTAACACGGAAAGCATGGACACAGTAAGTCTCCCTGTGACCTACTTAGGAGGGATCAGCGGTTGTTCCCCATGATACTGAGCCGTTCCCAATAAACTGAGCAGGGGATAGGGACAGCTTTTCCTTGCGAGCCTGCTACAGTCGCCGGCGCCTGCTTTCAATGTGCATCCTCTTGTTTTACGACCGTTGCCCCAGCCCAGCCAGCAGGCCGAAAGCGGCACCCATTTTGTCGCCTCCTCGTCGCCGCCGTTGACCAGAACCGCACTCCAAAGCTGCTCCTCAATCTCATAGGCTCGAGCCAACAACCGATTCGTTTTGAGGAAGCCCCAAAAACATGGACCTGGGCAGAGCCAAACTTGATAAACGATGGCTGATCCGTCATATCTTAGCAAAATCAACCAGGCAGGTTGTGAATCCGGGTCAGGATTGCGTGTTTCTGCTTGACGGTATCCTTTTTTAGGTTGTTGCATGCTTACTTGTTTATTTACTTCTTGTTGTATGCTGGTTCCCATCAGCAGAAGGCTTCATATCAACATTGCGATTTGGACCCCCCCGAAAATGGCTTCGGCTTTGCTTTTTGGGCTTCCCTTCAAACCGACATGAAAGGGGCAGCCCAAACAAAACACACACACACACACAAACTTACGGTTTGGAAGCGAACCCGTCGCTTCAGACCGCGTAGGCGGGCTCCACGCGCAGTCCTTCCAGTTGGCGGCGCCCAACGCCGCCTTGTCCCGGTTGATGCGCAGCAGGCTGGCGACCCGGTCCACGCTGTTCCGGCAGACCTGAAAGATGGCAAGGCACTTATGTCGGATTCAACACAACCAGGAAGCAAGGGACCCTTTCTGGTGCCAACGTGGGCTTGGCGTGGATATGTTTGTCTTGTACGATAGAGTCGGAGGGTCCGCTCAATGGGGCCTGTATCATCAGAATGGGACAAGGTACTTTGAAATTAACATAAGAGAACAAACTGTGTATAGCTCTTTATATCATTCATCATCTTCAAAGCTTCAAGCCCTCCCGCGGAGTCAGACCCGCGTAGCGTTTGGAAGCCGACGAAAAAACGTCAGCACCGCGGCCTCGTTGGGCAGGATCACAATGGTTGCGATGTTCTGCTCTGGCCCCCCTGGCAAGCGCGATGTGCATTCCTCACCGCAAGTCTCATGCGGTTTCCTCAAAATGGACCCCCCAAAAGGGCTTCAAAGGGAAACCCAAAAGGAAACAGCTCGTTTGGAAGAGCCATCCCACCCCATTTTGAGCAATCCTTCCCGTGATCAATCTAGAGAGGACACGACAATTCAAGCGGATCAGTGGAAGCAAAGCAATTAACTTCTTGGTGGCTGCCTCCCCTGCAAAAAGTTGAGCTGTTTGCTGGCTGATCCAACCAAATAACCAAGGAATCGTGATGGCAATGTTTGTTTTTTCCAAACGCAGGTCTGTGCATGATACCGGGCCACCAAAAAACAAAATGGGGCAGTGGGCCAACCGTCACGCAGTCAGCGAGATAGCAACATCAATCTGCAAATTTTGCAATATGTCCCGAAATCTGAAATAAGGGATCCCCAAGTAAAGCAACTTTACCATGGTGTTTTCGTTCTACCCCCGAATCGGTGAGCCCGCTAAAAAATGGGCGGATCAATGCCCGTGCACGGTCCCCCCCCCCCCCCGTTTTTTTGTATGTTTCCCGACGCAAAAAGCGCTGAAGCCTTGGAGGGGTCCTCTTGCAGGCTCGTGGCACACTGGTACTCCCAAGCAATGAACCAAATCCAGTATAACAAATACACCCCAGGCTAACAAACATAAAAGCCCATCCTTGCAGCGATTCTTGGGGCGGCCCTTCCTTGGTTCGATCTTTATCTGGGGAGTGTATCAAATTTGTACCCTCGCACAACTGCACCCCGTGTGGTAACAGGGTTCTCAAAATGATGGACCCCTAAACATAGTTGGTGTCCTGTAGTCTTCCTTGCAAAACACTCCCCAGTCGCCATGTAAAGGAGAAAAGGCCACTCTTTGTGGTCGTCAATTAAGGCAAACCCCCAACCTTCAAACCCTTGGTATACCCTTGGTATGGTTGCAAACCAAAGAAAGAGTGTTTTGCAGCCCCCTACCAAAAATGAACAGAACCCAAAAAACAAAATCAAACTTAAGATCCAAGAACAGTGAAGCACCCCAAAAGGAGACACCCCGAAGCCTCGCACCCCACAGCACAGTGGCGCCCGGCCGTCGCGGCTGTGGTCCAAGGCTGCTCCTCCCTCGGGCTCGCTGAGCACGAGCCGGAACTCCTCCTAGATCCAGAGACACGCCGACAGGACATGGGCGGCGCTGGCGGAAAGAAACCCGAAATACAGGGTTAAAACAAAGAAGCGCTGAACCAACATATGGCTGTGGGTCAAAAATAGGGTAACCCCAAAATGGAACCCTGGTAAATGGAACCAAACGCTAAAACCTGAGGTCCCCTGGTGACTTAATTTTGACCCACACCCATATAGAAAAAGCACCCAAACGGGAACTCCCCAAATGTCCGACAAGATCATCCTCCTTTGTGTGTGTGTGTGCGTGGTTTGAAAGGTTGGCCGAAATTGGGGAGTGCCCCAAAGTATGACGCAATTATCACGCACATTCGTTCCAATTGGGTTGCTGTTCCCGAGCTTCTTCTGGAAAATGGTCCACCCTTCTCGGCAGCAGCACCCCCCATGGCCACATGACTAAACTGGCACCAGCATCTAGCGTGCAGTAGACATGCAGCTGGGATGCTGCTGGCGGTGACCGCTTCAGTCGTATGCCACTGGATTGTAATGTTTGACATTGCCCAAAGAAGCCCTTTCTCAGAGTAAGCGCCCCCCTTCCTGATTCCATCGGTCCCTTTGTTTCAGCTGCAACACAAATTCACTGCAGTAACACGGGTTCACTTGCACGTGTGTGGAAATGATCTGTTTCTGTGATAAAAGTGCTCGGGCTCTCCCTTTGCCATTGCATTCTGTCACTGACAATCGCCTGGCACAGACAGTGGCAACCAAAAACCCTAGTTTCCACAACGGGCAGATAGCTGGCACTGATACACAGTTTACAACCCGACCTATGTTAGGCCGAACCGAAAAGGACACCAAGTTTCAGAAAATATTCTCAGCTTCCCCTTCATTGGTGGTTTGGATTGGTGGTGTGATTTGAACCCCAGTTTCTTTCGAAACCAAATGGGGAAGGTAGCCCCTAACGTCCAAACCACCAAACCAAACCACCAAGTAGGGGAATCAGCAGCCTGCAAAGCTTACGTGAAACCAACACATCGGATCCCCAGCTTGTTCGTACCCAGACCCCGCGCAGCGGGGTCCCCAAAACCCCAAAACCAGCCGCGCCTTGCCGAAGTAGCGGCCCTTGGAGCAGATCGTCAAAGGGATCTCCTGAAACGAGCCAACTTGTGACGGAAAAAAACACGTGATTGAGGGAAAAAGAAGGCTCTGGTGATACCCCCAACAGCATGCGGTGCTCTTTTTAGTGCCCGCACCACCCCGCAGAACCTCGTGGAACCCCGGTGGAACCTTGCCTCAGGGCCTCCCCGGACCGAGACCCCAAAGCTTGCTGTTGGGCACCTCCTTTTGGCGTCCCAGACTTGGTGACTTAGACGGCCTGCGCAAAACTCCACTCTTCATGACCCTGAAATGCCCCAAAACCATCGAACATCCAGAAAAGGGCCGTTTCTCATGGAAAAACCCAATGGGCCACGATTCACAACCCACTAACCCAACAACCTGAAAAGATTTCTTCGATCCGTCGTCCTGGCTCGTGGCGCCATCCTCGAAGACCAGCTCGCCCTTCCAGACCGAAACGCAGGCGCAGGAGTTGTGGGTTTTGGGTGGGTGTTTTTCATGGGTCTCGGGTCGAAAAAGCAGATGTCGTAGTGCTTTTGGCGGTTTTCTTTTTTCATGGGTTTTCACGAGTTTCCATGGTATGTCACATCTGTGAGTTTGGTTCATTTTCTTGAGGCTCGTGTCCTTCTTTGGTAAAAGGAACCAACCTAGCAGCTTTTGTGTAACCACCATGTTTGTTTTGTTTTGACCAAGCCAAAGTCAAAAACGAGGTTAAGAGAGTATGTGGTTTGGAGGCTCGGGTCCACTGGGTCCGTTCAAGTATCTATTGCTGTCGTTCAAGCAACCCCAGGAAGGGGGGGGGGGAACCACATCAGGTCTTTACAAGACAGAACTGGGCTGCAAGTGGTTCCATCTTGACTGCTCGAACTTACTGTTGGATCGCGACAATTGAGTTGATGGGAAGAGAAAGAGGCGCACCTTTTTTGGCCATGCCACTTGTCACGGAGCATGTGAAAGCAGTCTCAAACTCAATACAAAGAAAAGAAGCCCTATTACTGAGTGCGACACACAACATGCAAAGTGTGGTAGTTGGCAATGGCCCGCTCTCTAAATGCTTGCATGTGACATGACGGCATGTCGCATGAATCCAATCATTTGGCCCATAATCACGCATTCTCGCTGACTATGTTGGCACCAGCAAGGAGCTAACATGAGCAGCGCCCACTGGTTGTAGATGGATGCACAAGTCTTACCCCCAACGAAACAGAGTGGAATTTGCTAAAATGGCCGCGGGAATCGGTTTTGGCTCAAACCCCATCCGCGAGAAACGGCGGCAAACCTCCTCCCAAAATCGGAGGGGGGGAGAGGGGGGCGTTTTGATCGTGGCCTCCGTGTGGACATAGTCGTAGCCCTGGGTGGCACTCGCCGCTTCCGTGGTGAACTTGCAAGTGACCTTGGGAGTGAGGAGTTGGCAAATGGCGGCTGAAAGGCAAAGCCCGGCCACAAAACGACTCCATGGTTTTTGTGTTGTCTTCTTTTACTTTGTGTGTCTTCTTGCTTTACTTTGAGGTAAGATCAGAGTAAAGTCTAAATTTGTCGATCCTGCAAGCAACAACTGCATTAGTGCGTCTGCATTGGGACTGCTTAGAAGATGTCGCCTTGGCACAATGCGAGCGAAGTTCAAAAGCAGAGAAGAGCAGCCACGTTGCTATGTGTGAGCACCCTCCACACCAATACACACACATGGTTGTGATCAATATTCCCGGCCCCCAAATAACCATAGGCATTTGTGTCCCGATTCGTGGGGAAAGTCATCCTGTTTGGTGTTGTTTCCTTAGCGCCTGGCCCACCCACTCCGGCCACCCCAGACCCCCGATTTGAAGCCACGCGCGCGAGGCGTCAGGCAAGGCACTCGACCATTGCAGCCAGCACTGCGCTTCACCTGCACCTGGCGCACTCTCCGCAGAAAGGCTCCCCCCGGGTCGGAACTCTCTCTGATGTTCCTCTCTCTCTCTCTCACGGGTCAGAACACCAGTGTGAAACGTTATGCGAACTGAGCTGTGGTCTGTGGCAGCCATCCAGGGATCCATCACTGGGCTTTCTGATAAATGCTTGGCACCTACGCTTCAGGACCAGGCTTCGAATATGTAGCCAGCTACTCTGACAAATTGGCTCCATTGGACACGTGCGGCGTGGCCAGCCGTGAGGTTTAAGTCTTGTCGCAAGCTCTGGACGTCCAGAGCTTGCGGTATCTCAAGTTCTGCCAGGAAGGCGTTTATGACCACATCCTGCACCTCCTCTTTCACCTCGTAGACGTCCTGGCGATGCTCGGGAAAACTCCATCTGGAGATGCCTCGCAGCCATGGGTCTTTTTTGAAGGGTAGCTTTTACTGGTTGGTTTTAGAGGGGAACCAACAAGGAAGGCCACCTTATTATGTCTTTTATCTTTATCTTTATTTTCTGTGGCTCATTTGTATTTTATGTTGTTTGCTTGATTATTATGATTATTCTTGTTACTTTATTATTATTTAAAAGACAATGGGGGGGGTACCCACACCCATTTCGACAGAAACCGAAACTGATTCGAGCGCGCCTTTTCGAAGGACAGGACGCCGGGATGATCGTCGTCGATGATGACTATCCTGCGCTCGATCGACGCTGGGCAAAGAGGCGCCCAGAGAAACTGCGCATGTGCGGAACGCAACTGCCAGGACAAGAGTGCAACAAGATTCGAAAAGAGGAGGGGGAGAGACGGAGAGAGAAGAGAGAGCGAGAAAAAGAGAGAGAAGAGAGAAACAAAAAGCAAGAGAGAGAGAGAGAGAAAGAGAGAGAACAAACAAGAAAGGAAACTAAAGGAAACAAGGTGCCAGTCGAGACAAAGAAACAAAGAGAGAAAGAGGGAAAAAGGAACAACACGGGATTGTCTCAAAATTGGTGAACCTCCACAGCGGTTTTCCTTCTGGTGTCCGATTTTCAAACCGAAACAAAAGAGACCCCACATGCCTTGCACGGCTGCCCGGGCCCAGGACGCCTTCCTGAGCCGGCGAAAACAGTCACGCGTTAAAACCACCCAGGTGTGTTTAAAGGCAACTTTCAGGGAACTGGGCTGCCCTCAAATCCCCTGCTAAAAGTTTAACTTTTAGTGCCCTGCATCGCGATGAGTCGTTACGTGGCCGGTGGTCAAAGACCACGAACCCCGAACGGGTGAGGCAGTAATGGTGTGCGAAGATCAGACCCCAAGCGCTGTGGCTTGAAAGGTCATGGGGGCCGAAGCCAAACAACAATGGCTGTTCCTCTCAATGGGGGAACAGGCATATGGAAAGGTCAAAAGCCCGAAATAGACAAAAACGGAAAGGGAGGATCCAAGAAGGAAGACAGCCAGACTAAGTCAAGGCTGAGTGCGAGTTCCTGGAAGGACCGAAAATAAGAAAAGTTTTAGTGGGTCAAATGGAAACCCCCACTAAACGCTAAAAGTCTAAAAAGCTAAGAGGATGGCTGGGAGCCACTGTTCAGGGGGCAGAGTTTGAGTGAGGGCGGCTTCCTCGCCGCCGTGAAGCCTTTGCGATGTTTGGCATGTTCAAGGGAGCCGTCTAACAGCTTAAAAACCAGCAACATGTGTCCGTTCCTCGTTCAAGGGAACCCCTCAACAAGTTAAAAATGGCGCAACACCTAGCACAAAATGTCCACATGTCTCGTTCGAGCAAAAAAACAACTAACAAGCTAAACACATGGCGCAAATGCTTACATCCGTCGTTCAAGGGAACCCCCAACAAGCTAACCACGCGGCACAAAACATGATATATTCGAGAAACTCTACTTGCTCCTGACGAAACTGCTTTGGGCTCTGAGTACAGAGAATAAGATGTGTGGCTCGTGAGTCCAACTTCTGTGGCATTGGCACATGATTCACTGATTCGCAAAACATTTACTTTGGTCATCCACCCTCGAAGAATATCGAGGGGAGCACACGATGCTGTGGCGGTCTGTGCGCTCGGCGTTAGTGCTGTGGTTGAAAAGGTTCCGCGGCGAGGGTACAACCCCATTTGAGGTGGGCAATCGGAGTCTCCAACTTCTGTTCTGCAAAAGTGCGCATTGTCCCATTTGGACAGTTTCAGCCACTAAACACATCCAGGCCAATATGTGAGCCACGACCAGGTGGGTGTCTCTGGCTGGGACATGGAGCACAAAAATGGGTGTGTCCCCGCGAATTCCCATTAAAACGGAACGTACAACGCTCAGTGTCCGAGGAAGCCTGCGCAAAGGAAGCGAACCAGCCATTAAGGCCAGGAACGCATTGATGGCAAGTGCTACCTGATATAGATTGTATCAGTCAAATAGGGGCAAGCAAGACCTGAATCTCGAAAACACGACAGGACTCCGGACATCTATTTAGGAACTCTCCTGAAAAAGAGTCCCTGCCTTTGACACATTCCAACAACACTCGCTTGCATGTGCGAGTGTGTGTGTGTGTGTGTCTCCTGCCAACAGCAACCAGATTGGGCACACAACACCACAGAATTCATTGGCATGACACCATTGGGCACAACCTCACCTCAGCAACCTTCTCACTGGCCTGGTGAAGTCGGGTCTTTGCAGTGGGTCGCCGCTTCCATTTAAAGGCCAAGCAAAAGCAAGTCAGATCTTCTCGAAGCCTTTGAGCCTTCCTGGGGAGCCCGCTGCCGCTTTGAGGTTCACAAAAAAGTCCTCATCTTCCTGCCAGTTTGCAAAAAGGCTCAAGCCTTGCAGCTTCCAACACACTCATCACCAACCTGTGTCTGACCATTTATCTGCAACTAGCATAAACCCAGGCCAATCGAGCCGATGCGCAATACGCCCCTCCAAAACTCCCAACAGGAAAGCCGTACATGTACGTGCAATTATTGTATTAAGTCCATTAAAGTCCAGAACCTGGGACAGGGAAAGGACCTTCACTGCTTTGCGCTCGTGTTACCCCCGGAATTCCTGGAATCGCTCCACGCCCATAGACGTATGGTCTCAGGCTCATCTCGACACCGGAAGTAACAAAGGGCAAAGAAACGCGGAAACCCGAGTCGCTCCTCGAACTTGTTGTCATCCAGGATTTCTACCTGAAGCGTCGGGCGCTTTGACACATCTTGCAGGAATCAGAAACAAGTTGGTGCGGCGGGCTATGCTTTCACTCCATGGCCTTCTTGGCCGATTGACCAAAGGCTCTCTGCGCCGCAACGAATTACATGGATGGCCCTTGACCGAGTGGGTCAACTGCAAAAGCGGGCAGGTGATGCTGGTGCAAAAGACCTGAGCGAGAAGAAAGACATAGCCCAGGTCCACTCCAAACGCTCCCGCGCACGTAGGGTAGAGACCCGGCAAACAAGGCCAACAAAACGCCAAACAACCAAAAAGTCCCTCGCATGTTGGGTTTGCACATACTAGGTCCTCCAGTAGAGAGGCTAGAATGCGGGTACCCTTTTTTTCTGTAGTCTATTTTAGTAGGTGAACCCTCCCCCAACAAAGTTGGTCAAAGGGCACCTAGCTGGGGCACCTAGGTATATATATATATATATATTATATATATACATATAATATTATATATCATAAAAATATATGTTTTTCCTTCGCCTTCCCTCCACTCAGAGAATCGAAGCGTCCGGCCGTTGCCTCGATGACCACTTCCGCGTCGCCTTCTTTGAAGGTGACCTCCTGGGCGCTGCTCCCAACGCCGCGCGCCGGCTTCGCTCGCAAAACGGCAAAAAGGACAACAAGGGATCCGATCCCTGGCGTATGGCTATGAGTTTTAATAAGGGACCCTTTGGTGGACATCAATCCCTTTTGAGGTGGTTCCCTATTAAAAGTTCATGGCCATCTGGGTCTGGCCTCTTTTTGGAAGTTACCTGCCTTTTTGCTAATTCAATTGGAAACCAACAGGAAAACACCACTATTGTTCTTTTTTGTGTTTGGGGGGGGGGGGGGGAAATACGAACTCAGACCGTCTTGTGGTGTCAGCAGAGCAGCGCGAAACGTAGTGTCGTTGATGCAACCTCCAGGAAATTATGGCAAGTCATTTCGAAATTCACAACAGAGCCTGAGCCTTTGTAGAAGGGCCCTAAGATTTGTAAGCAATGGCCCCCAAAGATGACGGGCAACAAGCAGAACAAAGCAGTTTAAAACGGACGGACCCCCCAAGTTGGACAACTCGCAAAGCCCAGTGCCACTGCTCAAAGCCAAGCCGCCCCCTGCTTCTCCACGTAGTCCTGGCCCGCCTTGGCCTTGGTCCCGGCGGTCGCGCCGCGGATCAACCGAGTTGCCACGTACAACAGGAACCGTGAAGAAGACTCATCACCCAGATGCTTTGAAAAGAAAAAGTAGCCACAAATCAGCTCACCCAAAGGACAGTGTTGCGTCCGATGCAATGTCTGCTTGAGGTCCTGCCGGTATGCAAACGGACGCGCAAGGGCCACATTGCCGCAACGTGTATTGCAACTTTAAACTTTGGACGAAAGAGCCTTCGCCATGCTTCCAAAAGCCCCCCTCTTCAGTTCTAAACAAATTAATTGTTCCTGGATCGCCAGTTGCAGCTTGTGTCCCGCAACAGTGACTGTTGTTGGGCAAAGTATCTGGCAAAAAGCAGCAACTTAGCGATCCAGGAAGCGAATGAAGCACGTCCGGACTTCTCAGCGCACTGCCCCGCCATCCTCCGTCTCGTAGTGCACCTGGCGGGGAATGCCTAGCTTCGTGCCTCTGATTGGGGCAACACGCTCTCAAGCACAGGTGGCCTTTGGGAAAAAAATTGGATGGCCCTGACAAATGGAAGAAACCCCATCTAAACCAGTGGATCCCATCCAAAACCAACCTACGCCTATACCCTCAAGTCTCACATTTCGAGGCGTCAAAGCTCCGATGTGTTGCCAACAAGTCCGCTGCCCACTGCTTGATGTCCTTTTGCTCTCGTTTTCAACACCCAAAAGGAGGTTCCTTTTAACGAAACACCCGCCCCAATCACAAAAATTCCACTCCCAACAGCTCCCCCCCCCCACTTCGGGTTTCGCGGCTGTCGTTCCCGGCAACGGCGAACCAGGGCCGCGCCGTGACCTTCTGCTTGAGGTCCCCCCCGCGCTTCACGCGGAGCTTCACCACGCCGATCTGGGAAAAACAGAAAAAGTCGGTCGAAACTCAAAAAACAAACAAGCAGAAAATGTTCGTCCTCGTGACCTCGTGCCAAGAAATGCACTAAGAAAGAAAGAACCATCGGTGCGAATCTGAGAAAAGGGCGACCCATTGGTGGACATCAGAATTCGGTGGGGATTTATGTCCAACCGCTGTTGGGGGCCGGCAATAGTCACATCGGAATGTGTAAGGTTTGAACGCCCTCGGTTGCATCCGAACTCCACGCGTTTGAGCATGTCCTTGTCAAGAAGGACCTCTTGGCCGGTTTTGGACCAGTCTGCTTGGATGATGATGTGGCTTCTGCCTACGTTGCAAGGGGTCCTTCATGAAGCTCCCGACTCATGGACGACTTTGCTGAACTATGGCTTACACCCCGCTATAGCAACACCTTGCCCTGCAACTTGCGGCGACAAAGTTTTGACATGGACTTCCAGGGAAAGACCTCCAGCGCAATATACAAGGATACCCTCGGGGGAATCGCCCTTCACAGGTTGATTCACAGGCAAATAGGCCAACCGCACTCTGAGCGCAGGGAGCAGCAAAAGCTCGAATGCTTCCACTTGAGTATGTCACGGGTCCCTTCCGATTTCTACACCTTGAAAAAATCGGACAGGTCTTCAACCCCCCCCCAAAAAAAAAAAAAAAACATCTCTCCAAATGGATTTGGGAGCCTTCTCTGCTTGGGGCATTTCAAGGCACCATCTTTGGGGCGGGGCCCAAACCCCCCCCCCCGAAAACCGAACCCCGGGCGACCCGGCGCTCTCGGACACCGCAAAGTTCCGGGCCGCGAACTCCTCGGAGCAGCCCCAAAGCGAGGCGCGGAACGTGTCTGGCCCGAAAAGGGGCGGGACACCTCTGGGGGTCCCTGGTTTGTTACTTGGAAGCGGAAAAAATGCGGAAGCCAGGTTTGGTGTCTGATGTTTTTTTGAGGGGGAGGGGGGTTTGAGAGCTATACCCATATGCGCCCACTATATTTGGCAGTGCTTTGGGGGTGATGAAGGTCCTTTTGGAATGGTGCACGTGTTGTAATCTGTGTCCACTTGGATATGTGCCTGCACTGCGCGAGAGGATAGCGAGCGCATACATGGCATCGTTGTTTGGGAGGTCGTCACCCCATTTGGAAAGCGATGTTGCTTTCCTGTGAGGTGAGCTCGCTTTAGTTGCATGTTAAACCCTCCCAAACAACACCAGACTCACAAGTTGTTGATCTAAAAACATGCGCTCAACAAAAAGCCTCCATATCGGAAGAAAGTCTCAAACCGAGCCAGGTGCTGACAAGTAGTCAGCAATGTGTGCGATCCCCAATGGCGATGCGCCTTCCCCCTGTCTTTTTCAGCGGACTCATTTTGTGTGGGAGTTTCTCAGCATAGGTTTCGGACCCCAACCTCTGGCCGTGATTCAAAGGGATGGCCAAAGGAACCCAATCGTTTTCCGGAGACCGGATGCCTATTTTGATAAACGCCCATCCTCACCCTACATCCGAGTCGCCACAGTGCCAGTGGCCTTGGGCATCGGTGCTTCGCGGCTGGGCACGCCTGCGAAACGCCGAAACCCGCAACGGCCGTGGAGTTGTTCTTTTTTTCTGGTTTTGTTGCTTCCCACACCTGGAGGTTGGCTCTGGGAACTGGAGGTTGGGGCTCTAACTTGGTGAGGGAAACTGAAAGGCTGAACCCCCCCTCACCACCAAAATCCCAACCAATCCAAACCACCAAATGGAGGGCACCTGATCTTCCGGTGGGGTTGGAGACAAAACATGACCAATGGCCAGACTGGTTCGAGAGTTCGTGCATGTGTGTATGTGTGGGCACGCAAATCATGGATGGAGGAAGAAATGACAACATTGGAAAACATGAGCATAGCATTGACTCTCCAGTTGCAAGGCGTCCGCGAAGTGTACAGATCAACTGTTATCTATGCTGAGGAACCGAAAAACAACTTCCTGACGTATGCGGGTTGTTTATGAATCAGCACCACGTGTATGTTCCCAACATCCTATGGGGCGTTCGGTGTCAACAGGAGATCAAGGGGAATCTCGCTTGGAGCCCAAATTGGTCTATCCGTTTTGTGCGTGGAACCTTCAAACGATATGCTCCAAGTGCCAGCGGTTCACAGAGGGGCAGGCTGTGAAAGCCTGGACTTGCCCTGATAACTAACACAGATGAGTTGTTTCCTTGTTGCACCCCGAAGTGAGAAATCGGATCAGTAAAAAACAGCTGCGCTTTTGGCGAAGTACTCATATCTCCACTCCCCTGCCTTTGGGTGGCGGCAGCGCCTCCTGAGTCGGAAAAAAAAACTGAGCATGTCTAGGATCCAAACGCATGCCGAGTCAGAAAAGGTTGGGTTCCTTCTGTTTTGTTTTTTACTTAAGACAAAACTACAGGGGTCCATCCAAAAAGGAAGCGGCCAAATCCTACTCAAAAACCACCGGCTCCTGTCGGCTTCGCAACTCGCAACTCGCCCGAAGCGACTTCTGAAAATCGAAAATCATCGCAACTCGGCGCAAAATGTGGGGCGCGGTGTGCTTTTCGGGGGCCATTTTTGGGGGAATGGGGTCAAGGGAAGTCGAAAGCATCGAAATCCATGGGAGTCCAAATATGGCACTTAGCCATGTGGTAAGCCGGCCGCTCAAGAAACAAAGGCGAGTTCATGAAGCTGCCCTGTTGTCCAGCAAAGCCTTCCAATCACCTGATTGGTTTGGGGGCTAGAGGGGGTTTCCCCACTTGGTGGGAACTGAGGGCTGTTGCCAAACCAATCCAAATCACCAACCAAACCTGATTCAAACTAGTCTTGCAAAAGCGTGGTCCCCGTAAAATGGCCGTGGTGGGGGTCCAAACACTTGCCTCAGACTCCTCGGCCCCCTTTCAACGCCGAGAGAACGAGAACTTTTCGGCGAGCGTCGGTCGGCACCACCGCACTCAACGGCGCGATCGGCTTCTCGACCTGACAAAAACATGTCAGGCGCGGCATCCGGTGATGGAATGATCTGGCCATGGACAAGTCAAAACCCCCCAACCCCCAGTGAACATCCGATTCAATCCCCCACTAAAATAGGCTCTAAAATCGGTGGTATGAAGGAATGATTTAGAAAAATTGGCCAAGAAAAACGTCAGGTGATGGAACGATTTGGCGGTGGGTAAGTCAAACCCGTTTGGATCCCATGTTGGTTGGTGTGGGTGAATTCACCACCCATTTTGGAACCTATTTTAGTTGGGATTGGGATGTTCACTGGGTGTTAGGGGGGTTTTGACAACCACAGCCATTTGACATCCCAACGCATTGGGGCTATGGCATGCTGGAGAGCAGGTGGCGGCTTTGGTGTCTCAACGGATCCAGGTGGAAGCTACTCAAAGTTGATCACCTCATGACACAGCCAGAAAACTCCATGCCGCAGCCCTGACGTTCCGGAGGCACTCTCACGCCATCTCGGCTAGCCCGAGTCATCCCAAAGAAAAACATGATGCTGGTAACATTGGAGAGCGTGTCTTCCTGATGCGATGTGGGCTGGTGGGTAGTCCAAATTGAGAGCTTCAGTCTACTCTGCACTCCGTGCCCTCATTGTTCACACAGACACGCACTCAGGCTCAAGGAATCAACAGAAGTCTTAGCTGCCAAAAATAGACGGGCGCCGATCCAAAGATCAACCAAAGAAAGCTGAGCTATCCTCTATACTCAATTTTGCGGCCTTGCTTGGACCCACACCCACACCCACACCCACACCCACACCCACACCCACACCCACACCCACACCCACACCCACACCCACACCCACACCCACACCCACACCCACACTATCCGCTCAAAGGAAAGTGTCCAACCACTTTTCCCGAGATGGGAGAAAAAGAATCGTCGCCCCAGTCTTGGGGCTGACCAGTGCATTCGTGGAATTCTGAGGGGCGGGGGTACATGAGACCCTTCAGGTTCCACCCCTAGATGACCAGGCCCAAGGGTTCCATTTTGAGGTTGGTTTCACGGGACACCAAAAAAGCAAAGCGAACCCCACTTTTTGGTTGGTATCTGAAGGAAAGACAAAGGGCCACCATCCATTTTCAGGTTCCCTACTTTGAGACACGTGTCTGTGTGTGTGTGTGTGTGGGTGTTTGTGTGTGTGTTTTTGTCAGAGTACCCTGTCGAGATAGTTTTAAAGGGAAACACCACTTCTTGAGATCGAACCTGACAATGGGAAAGCCGGAAATCTGCGGGAGATCGAACCTGTTTTTGGGCATGTCCCGGAATCCTGAAACGTAGCCACGTCTATGCCTCGGGTTTTTTCGGCGACGGAATCTCCCGATCGTCCCGCCTTCTCCCCGACCCGCTTTCCACCGAAGATGCCCCGGGTGGCAGCCACGCGGTATGCCGCCTGGCTGCGAAAATCGGGCTGCTACGGGGTCAAAAAAAGTCTTCGATACGAGTTGTGTTGCTTTGCGGATACTCTTTTTGGAGTGGCTCAAACGGAAACAAGGAAACCAACCTTTCTGGGAACTCCACACAGAGACAAATTGGGTGCATTTTAGTAAGATGTGAGGGGAAATGTTCCCCAAAACCTCTCAACTTTGGGTTCAGACATGGCCAGGCTTATATAGCCATATATAGACCTCACTAGTCTCCATTGAACCAAGTAGCACCAAGGCCGATCGGAATCGATTTGGGGTGCTCAGTCGTACAGAAGCTGGCACATCAAAGTGCTGGTGTTGCAACAAAAAATCCTTCACGCGAGCGGCTGACTTGTGACTCCAGGGTGGCTGTAATGTATGAGGAGACTAGCAAAACCCCAACCAAGCTAGGCGGAACCAGCTACTAAAACGACCCTTTTCGGGGTGTTGGGCGCTAGGTTCCACAGCCTCCCCACGGCTCGTGGAGGGAACCCAAGCCTAGAGCCTGTGTGTGTGTGTGTGCCTCAAATCTGGGGTCAGCCATGTAATGCTAACGTTCCCTGCTTGCCATTCAAAAAAACATTCTCCATTCACTGCACCCAAAAAAGGTTGGGCGAGTCAACAATTTCAGAAACCTCCTAAGGCTTCCTGTCCGGTTTCCCAGTGACCAAGTTGCTGTTTGGAGAAGGAAAAATAAGTCAGCCCGCGGAGCTCGACTCGATCGAAGCCTTGGACTTGTGCACCGGCTCCTCTTTCTCCAACAGCTTGGCGATCTGCTCGTCCGACAGCTCCAGGCCATACTCCTGCCCGAACTCTCCCACCGAACCGACGGGTGGTTTGATTTCTGGATAGGTGGGTATGGGTCAAAAATAAAACACCCGGATATGGACCACAGGTTTTAGTCCTTAGTTCCATTTGGTCAGGGTGCCAGTTTGGGTAAGAAAAAGGGATGAAAGCCCTCCAACTCACCACCAGTCATAGATTCCCCAGCCTTGGCGGCTTGGATTTCTGGTTTGGTGGTGAAATGGGAGAGGGGTTCAAATCCCCAAACCAATCCAAGTTCCATGTGAATTGGTAGGAGGGTACTCCTATCCGCAAGAGAAAATCCACACTTCACGTAGTGGCGGTTCACCTATTGATTGATGGGTATGAAGTTAAAAATCAGACCGTGACCTGGGGATTGTCCAACTTCTCGGGTGCCCCAAGCAACAAAAAACACAAAACTCCCTTGAACCGGGGTGTCTTTGTTCCCTTGAAGCACAAGTCGGCGGCTGATTTCGGCTTCGGGGACCTTTCTGCCATGGAACCTGACTGAAAAAGAACAAGATGTTTGGATGTGTGTCAAACTAGGGCCCCCCCAAAAAAGAACAAAATGGAGGTTTGTCCTTGCGGTGTCCCTTTACATCAATCCCTACAAGGGGTAGCCTCAAAAGAAACACACTGTGAGCCGGGGTCCATGCTAGGGATGTCCACTTCATCTCTTGCGACCCGTGGTTGGAATTTGCGCGCTCTTTTTGACGTGCGCGTCTTGGGCGGTTGGCATGCTGCTTTGTGGGCGGGTGTACAGATTGGACTATAAACAGTGGTGCTTGTTGCATTTCTCAAAATAGTTGCCTGGTTGATATTGACGCAACTCGTCGAGTCAGGATCTACTCATGGTGCTATTCCGCGTTCACAAAAGACAATTCGGACACATAAAACCACCTGTGCTGGCTGGCCAACTAGTTTCTGGCCAGGCCCAGGAACTGCATTTTGGGGAGCCGTCAAGCAAAGCCTTCTGGGTCATTGTAGCCGAGCTGACAAAATCTCTTTGCAATACCGCGGGCAACAAGCCTGCAAGATAGATCTGGAGGTATATTGGGTGTGTTTGCTTTTCGGGAACCCCAAAATGCAGGGGGTTCCTTGGGGTTGGCTTTAAAACCCACAAAAAAAAGCGCGCCGACTCAAAAAGGAAGACGAGCCATCCAGATACCCATTTGATGCAGGCTTTGAGCATTGAAAAGCACCGAGTATCTCAATCGACCAGCCAGCTGGCCCCGATCTCACCCCTTTACGTCTTTATGGAAACCTTGTTTTGACCATTTTGGGGATTCCACAAAGTGACAGCCTCAATTCCCAGCCAAAAAAACTGAATTCCAAGGCCCTCAAACGAAATTTTGAGAACCCCTCAAATGAAACAACTTTGAGGGACCCAGACAAACTGACTCTGAGCTCGTCCCCCATGTCCCTCACACGTGGACCTTGAGATGATGACCGAACCTCACATGGATTATTCTCAAAGCCATGCAACCCAAAACATGTAGTTGGGTTCCTGCTTGGGCGTTCCCTTTTCAGCCAGCCAAAAGGGGGGCCACGTCATCTCTTACTCCTTGCGACGTGGTCATGGCACCCCTGGGGAACTTCGAACCTTTAGGTTGTCAACCCCGAAGGGGGATGGCCGTCCATGCCAAAACCGCAAACACCGTGATGCATAGCAGGTGTGTCTCAAAAATGTGGTCCGTTTCCGTCTACTTCTTCAAAACCATCCAAAAAGGGCTCCTATGTGGAGGCACAAAAACCTGAATGATTAGAATGGCTTGCCATCTCTTCTGGGCAAAGCCCCCCTACATCCGATGCCCCCGCGCCTTTTTGAGCTTCACCTCGGCCGCGGCCAGCTCCTGGCAGCGGCGCACGGGGAAGATGGACCTTGTGGAGTTGCACTTTGAGCTGACTGGGGGGCCATGTTTGCAAATGGAGCATGTTTGGCTGCTGGTGCATGGTGGGGATCGACCTGTTGCCCGGAGTCCGTGCAGACGGTGCAGCAGCGCCATGTGAATCACGGACTTGTCCATGAGTGGCATACAGCCGTGAAGTGGGCGCGGTGCACACAGATGACTTCGACTCGGGCCAGAGTCCGAGTTGGTCACCCAGGTCCTCACGGATCGCGTAGATCCACCAAGTGCCTAAAGCAATCCGAACATGCTTGGCAGCCATGCGACGCAGACTTTGAAGCAAGTGCCTGGGGAGCAAGGGATTGGCGATTTGCTAGAGATGCTCTCTGGCGACAGAACGCCCAGCAGCCTTTGAGCGCGCGGAAGCCTAAGCTCAAGAAGTCAAAGAAGATGCGTGTGCCAGACCACCCAAAAAGCCATGATTCTCCTTTTGGGTTCTGTGTGGATTTTGTGGAAGAGAAAGTTGTGGCAGGCAGTTAGCCATGGCCGCTGATAAACCGCACTCAGACATATGCTCCTGATTGACATGGAGCCCATAACGCCGGGCTCTCCTTTGGGGGACCTCCTTTCAGGGGCCCTCTTTTTGGGCTCCATGTTCATTTGGAGGGGAGTGCATAGGATTTTACGTCCACCGTGCCGGAGGTGTTCCGAACCAAAGTTCTCATCTCAAGCGGTCGGCTGCCGGGTTCCCCCGAAAAGCACCACGTCCAGCCAGCCTCTCTGTTCATGTCATCGAAGAGACGAGTGCCTCGCCGAGATCCGGGCCATGGTCCATGGCCGGAACACGAACTGAGACCAACCGAGCCATCTGATGTGTCCAGACAGCAAATGAAATAAACAGAATGGGCTGCGACCGTTTCGGCTGCTAAGGTTGCCTCTGCGACCCAACAGAATATACACGATTGCCATGCCTTGCAAAGGATATCTGAATCTATAAAGCTATGCAGGCTCTTGCACAGTGGTGGTATCTGACAGCCCCAAATCATCATCCTGTGGCAAAACAAGAACCTCGGCACACCATCTGGTTGTGCCAACTTGGGAATTTTCGGGGAAGCTGCGACAAACACGTGTAGCCAAAATCAATGCAAGACAAATATTATCCCTTGTTATCATAGAAAGCGGCCACCTAAAAGTCCATTTTCCGCAGCCATGGCTTTGAAAAAGTGCCTGGAGAGGACATTGCTCCCAAGGAGTGTACTTGTTGCCACATTTCAGGGGCCCTAGATTAGCCAACCACCTCCCCACATGGTGGTTCCCCTCTGCAGTGGAGAAGGTCCTGTTTTGAGAGTGGAAGTGTACCCTCGCAAAAGCAAAAAAACGGAGCCTGAAAGAGCGTCCCTGCAGTCTCTGCAGTCCAGACCATGGGCTTCTATGCTTCTTTCAAACTGCTTTTTTGGTGCCACTTTTAACCCATGTTACGAGTTCGCCTTTTTGACACCTCAGGCCTCCGCTCTGAGCGCTCTGAGCGCTCCGGCCGCTTGGCCCAAAGTGAGCCTTCTCCTCAGGAGGCTTCCTGGTGAAGTAGCCTGCGGGGGAGCCGCGGGACAACGCCCGCGGGAAAACCCGCGGGAAAACGCCCCTGGAGTCAGTGAGGAAAGCCAAATAGAAACATGGTCGGATTCGGACTGCCCGACCTACGCACCGATTTCCTTTTCAGTTTGGGCTGCCCAGCCTTCGATCGCAGCTGCCTGCCACATTTCTGGTTTGGAACGCTCACAGCACCAGGGGCCCCATGCTTTGGCAAATTGGAAGGCCAAACCCCCGTCGTTTGCAGGGCGAAAAGAGAGGCAGTGCTCAGTCCTGAAAGTATGACGTCATAGACGAGGGGGAACTGTCCCTATCAACTAATAATAACTTGTTTCTTTACCGCTTGGATGAATCTTCCGAAGACAGGAGATATTTTTCTGCTGTCTGCAAAATGTTACACCTCCTTTATTAATAGCACCCTCTATTATAGCATTTTTTCTGGCAATTCAGGATCTTGTGACTGTTTTATTGCAGCAAACGTTTCCCCGAAATTATCAAAAAAACAAATTTGGTGGTTTACTCTCCGGATCGTGTCTGGCGCAGGCTGGACTAAGCCTCCGAAAAAAAAAAAAAAATGAGCCACACAAACTTGGCAAAGAAGTCGAGCAAAAAAAACGAGCGAACAAATCCGGGCAAACACGAGTATTTTTTGAACTGGTCCCAAAACCATCAGATTTAAGCTAACTTCCTTACAAAAAAGTGCGGGCAAACAGTTACACAAAGGGAGTTGCCCACAAGGGGCCCTGATCCGCCAAAATGTGACTGTTTTGGGGTCCTGTTTAGTGTCCAACGGCTTTTTGGGTTGCTGAAACTAGTAGACTCAAGCCTTAGCCTTTTACTTTTAGGGTGGTTCACCTAACCAAGCTCTTCCCAGCTCATCAAAATCACATCGTTCGAACCAAAAATCAAATCTGAGCAGACAAAAATATCCTGCAGCTACTAGAATCTTCCCCAAAATAATCAAAGAATGAGGCTGGTCTCAACCAGTGTTGCAACTTTGGCGGCCCGTCTCATTCTCCATTTTGTGCCTCAGCCGCGCCTTTGTCCGCTAGGAAGGCCAAGCCAACAAGGATTGGGAACATGGCGAAGGTCACTAGGCCTGGCGCGCAGGCCTGGAAAAGTGGGAACAGGGGGACTGTGAATGGGTTCTAACAAATGGGCTCCTTACGGATACGCACATGAGTGTCCTTCAATGAAAGCTGGAACCCGTTGTTTGAACCTGTGCAAGCTCCACTGGGAAGCTTTGGAATTGCCACAGTGGGATAGCTTGGGAAGTGCCATAGCACTTTGGCCTGAACCGCACAAGAGAAAGAAGAAAAGAAACAAACAAGAAGTGAAGAGAGAAAGAAGAAAGAATAAAGGAGACAGGAGAAAGGGGAAAAAAGAAAAGACAAAAGAGAAAATATATAAAGAGAAAAGGGAGAAAAGAAAAGAGGAAAAAAATGAAGGAAGGAAGGAAGGAAGGAAGGAAGGAAGGAAGGAAGGAAGGAAGGAATGAAGGAAGGAAGGAAGGAAGGAAGGAAGGAAGGCAGGAAGAAAGAAAGAAAGAAAGAAGGAAAGACTCCAAGGAAGTTTGTGCCATGTCTCCCTTAAGGAAATGGCTTCCCATCCCCCGTTCTCTCCGACGCAGCTTGCACTGCTGCTTTAGCCAGGCTTTATGATGTCAGCCACATGCCAAGACTACCCGAATATTTTACTGGCCAGTGCCACTCCAGCTTTGGCGATGAGGTTGTGCTACCAACATCTGAACCACAGTCCTCTGGGAGGAATGGGCCGAATGGTTACAATTCGTAAAGAGAGTGCAGACTGAAGATGCATCGATCTGTCGATACAGCAAATCGGGCTCCAAGCCCAATGCTTACCCTGGCTGGCTCTGATGTGCATTCAACAACAATCCATTCACCCCGGTCCATCGTGGAATCCTCTCAAACAGTCCCTGGATTCAGTCCTGGAAATCCAAAGCACGTCCAAGAATGACTTGCTCTATGTTGCAGTCACTGTTCCTCCTGCTTGCATGATCCAAGCACTGCCGCCACATTGGGATTCCATAACTACTTTCTCGCTTTGAAGGAGATTCCCATCATATCACAGAAAGCTTGGCTCCCAAAATCGTATTACACGTATCTACATACAGATACATATATATATATATATATATATATATGGCAGCCCCCCCAACAAAAAAAAACTACCTTAAACATATCATATCATATCATATACATATCATATCATGTCATATACATATCATATCATATCATATACATATCATACCATATATGTATATATATATATCACCCAAAAGGTAACTCACTAACCCAACGGGCCCCCGATTTCGGGGTGCTGTTCGCTCGTGGCGATGCCCCGCGGCCCAGCTGTGGCGCCTTCCCATATGTCCACCACGTCCTGACATGGGGGTACAACTTGGAGGCATCGACAGCAAGACCATCTACAGCCATAGGTGTCCTTTTAGGGCAAATAGATGGCCCTGGTGGATGATTAAACCACCAGGTAAACCAGGAATCGCCTTCTATTTTTCTACCAAAACAACCAAAAAGGACACCTATGTCTACAGCCCGATCAGCCCAGGAGATCTTTGACTATCCCGAACATTCCCCCTGAAATACAGGTACCCTTTCGATTTGGTGGAGAAGGTAATGCTCGAAATGGCGAAAGCGTATCTTTAAGAAGCCCTGATCTAACGCTCAAGACTGACGGAGCAAGAACAGGAGAGCAAAATAAAAGCTCTTGACGCTAGCAGCGCGCTGCATGTTGTAGCACTAGAAAGCAGAACTGGAATACAAACAATACAAGCAAATTGATTTGTACTGGATTAAGAGATCCTGAAGGATCTACATGGAGAGTTCGTGTTACCATGAAGTGAGCTTGCCACAAAATAGGCAGACCAGTGGGCGCGCAAACACAACATGGTGGTTTGTCGCCGAGAGGGTAATAGGGAACCCAAAAAGACTGTGTCCCTTTTAAAGCCCGCCAAACAGGGTACACAAAAAAGACATACCCGTCTTGTATTATTCTCCATATGCTTCGTACAACGCATGGATGGACCTGCAACCAGCACGACGCCACCCTGCACAGGTTGCTCAAATGAAACCTCAGACCGAGTCGAAGGATGAGAAAAGGCACGTGCTATGTTCAAAATCAAATAAGTCCCCTGGAAGACATGTACAAATATGACCAGTAGTGATAGATTCCCTTCCAAACCAGCAGCGCATGACAATAGCATTCTTACGCAAATGGAAGTGGCGGCTCCTCACAGAAAGGTCAACATGTGTCTAAAGCAGAGTCCTTTGCACAGGCTCAAGGCTTGCCTTTGGAGTGTCCATCTAACTCCGCTGGGAAGGTTCCCTTTGATCCCTCAGCCTGGGGCGATTTCCACCTTTTGTGCAGGCGATTTCGTGTGGCGGAAATCCACGGCTCCTTGCTGATGACGATTACCTGAGATCGGCATTGCATCGCTCACGAAAATCGAGGAAGCTCTTTCCAATGGAAGCTGACATTGCAAGATGCTCGTCCGCATGACAAGGTTCACTGTCCAATTCCATTGGCAGGGCGATCATTCGGATGCCATGCCAAGGGACTCACAGGCATTTGCAAAACATGCTTCCTGGTCTTCCGGGCTAAGCCTTTCTCATTGATGAAGAGGGAAGGCACAAGTTATCATCTGCGACAATGCAAACTGCGAAATGAAACCAGCTACTTGGCATTGCTGCTTGCCACCGAGGTTTGGCAGACTCCATTTGCTCATGCGATCGCAGAAAGATGTTCTGAACCAACTGTGCGCATCCACTCTTGGCACATGTCCATAATGCCCGGATGAAAATACATTGCCATCAAATGATCTGTTGGTGATCTGTTACTCACCATACTCACTCAAACAGTTTTTCCGCTCTTACACGGGTGAGTGCACAGCTGATGGTACATAGGGGAGTTTCGGCAACACACACACACACACAAGATCTTTGGGACACATATCATATCCAATTGTCCACACGAATCGCACATCCCACATACAGGCAGCTGAACACCTCTGCCACCGAAGGCGCCATGAACATCAGCCAAAGGTAAGCTATCAGGGAGAAGCTCGCCGTGATGGCGAACACCGGCACCTCCTTGATGAACCGCACTTCTGGGGACGGGATTGCCATCACCTCAGCGCAAGGTGGGAAAACATGTGGCACATGTACCTTGACGGAAAGCCAAATTTGCTGCCCTGCATACCCTCGCACTCCCCTTTCTTCTAACCAGGGATCTGTCGGGTTCCACGTTGGGAAGGTTTTGTCGCCCGCCAACCCATGCCGCACGCGGCATGCCCTCCGAGCGGCACAAACTGCGGAGATCACCAGGAGGTTAAACGCTGCACTGCCTGTGGCTGGAGAGGCGGCGGCCTTTGGTTTTCGGTGATCACCTTAGCCCAAATTGGTGGCTTGGCTGGTGGCTTGGATGCTAAGGGGGCACCAATTGATGAATTGGTGGTGTGTTTTGGCGGCTTGGATGTTTTTCGGGGGGCACCTTCCACATTTGGCTTCAAAGAAGCGGGGTCAAATCGACCAACTAAGGGATACTTGCAAAGCAGCGCATACCCATGTCCGTTTACAAAAGGCCTCGCTGCATTTGAAGCCATCTCAGTTTGCGCCAAATTCCATGGGAGTGGCTGGACTTGAAAGGGATTCGGCTGCTTCAACGCTTACATACGGCATAACACTAAGCTAGCCATATTCCCAAAGGGCCAAGCTACAAAGAATGCCACAAATCACACAGCATGGCATGAGGACAACTACCTCCCCACAAGGGGAAATACGGTGGATGTACGAAATCCTGTACCTAAGCAATGCCTGGAATGATACGATTCCCCTGCAAATACCAACCAACAATGGTTTTGCATGAGGCTGTGGGTCAAAACCAATGACCCATTTTAGTCTATTTTAGTGGGGATTGGGACGTTCACTGGGGGTACGGCTTTTTGCCCCGTGGCCATGATTTTTCAAAGCGGTGCAGAATCGCGTCCTCAGGATGTCCTCCCCCGAGCTCTTCCCATTGCGCCTACAATGGTGGAAGGCCCCAGCGCGCCACTGAAGAACCTCGCGCCGATCCTAGCGAGAGTGCAGCCGTCGATCGTTGGCCCAGCCTTTCGATGGGTCTGGGACGGCAACCAAATGCCACAAGTGCAGACCTCAAAATCTTTGCAAGAGATGCTTAGCGCAGTTGGACAGGCTTCTGGCTGGAGCCTAAGAGAGGAACGCCGAAAACGAGCCACGGCCGCTGTGGAACTAAGGTGCCATTCCGCAGGCCCTGTCTGATGCTGCCAATCAATTAAGATGTACTCACACAACTCCAGGTTCACAGGTCTCAAATGACTCACAGTAGCAACACAAACAACACGTTAGCATCCTGCTTCTTGTGGTATCAAATGATCCACTACCCAGGCTTTGCTCAAAAGAGGGGACCCCGAACCAGCCAAAAGGGATCCACACACAACTGCCCCCCACCCTCCCACCCAAACACCCACACACCCACCCACCCATACACCCACACACAATGAGTTTGAGAAACCACACCCAAAAATACAAGAAGGAAAATCGGAAAACCAAAACAAACCAAAAAAAACGGCGGGACGCCCTGTGGGTTCGATCGAGCGGCAGCTCGATGACGCTCAGTAGGATCTCCGGGGCGCTGGAGCCCAAGGCCATGAGCGTCAGATTCGAGACCTCGCGGACGCGGACCCCGTCTGCTTGGCCGCGCGGAGACACGGGAGATGTTGTGCCGGGGGTCTTCCGAAAGTGCGTGTGTTGGGTGTGCTTGGTGTTTTGTCTTCCTTGCTTTGTTTTCACCCCAGAAAATAAAAAATAAAATAAAAAAGGCAAGGCCCCAGTGGACTCCTTCACGGGAGTGACGAGGATCGCCACTCCCGTTTGTTGTTTTTTTTGAAAGGGGGCCGCCTCCAAAAAAGCACGAGAAAAATGGTCAGCGAAGGTCTGGGACAAGTAGACGAAGAGATCAGATCACTTACTTCGACTGGTTCTAAGGCTGATTCCAGCGGGTCCTGCACCCAACAAAGGGGGAACTCATTTTGCCCTTCTTCCAACAGCGCAACGACGCTTCGGGGGCTTCAAACTGAAAGTACAACAAAACACCCGACGTCTGACCCGCTGTCAAAAGCTGGGAATCTCCATCTGGATGCTGCCAGAAGAAGAAAAAACATTCTCAAAACGCCAGCCCTTTTGCCACTCGGGGCCAAGTTGCCGTGCGTTCCACTGAAGGCCAAGCAAATGGCATGCTCAATTGGACCCCAAAAACCCAAAACCGGATCGCGGCTTTCCTCTTGGCTTCCCTTGCAACCCCCTTCCGTTGGGTTACCCTCAATTGACCATACATCCTGCCGATTGCATCAAGAGTTTGGTCCTGAGCCTCCGACAGTGTCGTTCCACACCTAAGTGGCAGTGGCTGTCAACGAAAACGCGCGCTCGCCCATAGGCTGCCTGGTGGACTCCCATGTTTCCCAGTTCCTGGAAGAAACACTGGCAGAAAGACTCAAAGCTGAGACATGTTGGCGAACATAAAACTCTTTCTTGGCGTCGCAGGGCCACAAGACCTTCAACTGGCGCATGTTCTATACCTTTCAAAGCTTTGCGATGTGTCATCTCCCTTGTCAATGCTGTCAGTCCGCAAGGTCTCCAACTGCCAACCCCAGACTTGGAAGCCTCGCCTGCACAAGGAAACCCAAAACAAGCCCCTTCCAAGTCAGCTCGACCTCTGCTCGCCTTGTACGTGAAGCTGCGTCCCGTTTTGGGATCCACCACACGCCTGGCCGGCAGCTTGGAACTGCATCAGTTGTGCCCGCAGCCAACCAGCCAAACGTCCCTTGTGGGGAGGGTTCAACATTTGGGGCTTTGTGGGTCCCTCGTTGTAACGATGGCACAAGGCGGCACCGGGGTCCGAAAAGGGGCCCCTTTGTAGGAAAAAACACTGCAGGAAAACAGCAAGCCTGTGCGGTCAACAGGAAACCAACCCTCTATCCCCGACCTCCGGCGCGCACGCGCGCCGGAAACAAAGGCTTGGGTTTTTCGCCCCGCCTCTTTTTCGAGGTGATCGTCTCTATGGAGCTCATGAACACATCCGCCACGATGGCCTCAGAGTCGCGAGTACCCGCGACATCCCCCACTCGACCCACAGGCGGGCCGACCCTGACGCCACGGCCGAGATTCGAGAAACCAAGACATCCGGGGCAAACCGACTTGCACCCCGGCCGGGAAGCCAAAGCTGAACGCTGCCATGTCCCCTACTGGTGACCTTGAATTAGAAATCCCATATCAGAAATTGGGGATCTGCATCCCAAAACCCGTTGTTTACCGCAGAAAATGAGGGGCGTCCAAAAACCGGTCATTCACCGCCGTTCCTTGAGCTCGTGGTCACTTCGGCCGAGGAGCGACCCCCACAAAGGCCCACAAAAGGCCCAGCAGGTAGAGCACCCCTCGCAGCGTGCTATCCCACGCCTGGCGAGCAAAAGGCGCCACCCGTTGCGAAAGCCCAAGCAAGACAACATAACCCTAATATAGCAATAACCATGCAAACTAACAAACATATGGTAATAATGCTGGGAAATAATAAGCACCATCATCGTCATCATCATCGTCATCATCGTCATCATCATCATCATCATCATCATCATCATCATCATCATCATCATCATCATCATCATCATCATCATCATCAGGATAGTGATAATAATGACAATAGCAAGCATAGTGACATTGGCCGCAAAGCCCTCGCCGTTATTGCCCTCTTTCCGCATTTCCGTTGGCTGGCAAGCACAGGCAGCCGTCTTAGAGAGGCGCAAGAAAGGTAGATTGTGGCCAGTTTGGACCATGACTATCTAGACCAAACTAGAACATCCCAGATTCACACGGAACCCAAACAACCTTCATTTATAGCATTCTGTAGAGGATTGCTTCTTGCGGGGGATCCACACAACATTGGCACCTACTGACTGCCTGGCAGTTTTCCAGTCCCATGACTTGCCTGAAACCCGCATCTGTTCCTGGAAAAACATCCAACAGGGGTGCTCCAAAATGCCAGGGTAGAAATGTGGTTGAGAGGAAAAGGAACCCAAAGAGAAACAACCCAATCTTCTACAAAACCGAAGGAAGCCAAACCAAAGAGAACCAAATTGGCTGTTGCCGCAAAAGCGGTGCTCCCGCACGCTTGATAGCAAAACTAGGTACTTTGCGAGGGCCATTGAAAGAACCCAAAAGGGCATAAAGGTGAGTTCAGTCTGGCAATGGTTAGCCCCGAATGAAAAGTGGTCCAGGCTGATCCAACCAAAAACAAAGCCCGCAACCCTCCCCACCCACCCCCCACCAAGAGGGGAAATAAAGGGCGACCTCGGGGACCCGGAAAATGGCCGCGCCCTCCGCCTGTTCGCCGGAGAAGAGCGGCAGGAAAAGGCCCCGGCCCCCGGGCTCGCAGATCTTCACCTGCCAAAAAAGCCGCGGCGGGGGGCGCCACATCTTTTGAAGCTCGTCTTTTTCGGTGGACCGTCCCCAAAAATGGCTGGTCAAAACCGATGGGATCCCATTCTGGGGTAGGTGAATTCACCACCCATTTTGGGTTTCCTATTTTAGTGGTTGGATTGAATCGGATGTTCGCCTGGGGCTAACCGATTTGGATTTCGAAAAGCCCATGGCCCAATGGCGCCATGTGTTCCTTTGGGGGACCCCCCCTTGCCAACCAAACAAGAGGAGCCCGGGAACCCAAAAGCAAACCAGCCTCACTCCCCATGGCATGTGGATCCCGTTGTTTTCCGGCTCAAGGGTCCGAAGGCAAACCAAGATTTAAGTTGTTCACAGTTGGGAAATCAACCCCAAAACAGATGAAGAAGGGGAGCAAGCCGGATTGGCAGCCAGCAGCCTGTGCTCTGACCAAGCACAGAGAAAAAGGCAAAGGCACGGGTTTCTTCATGACAGGCCCCGCACTACATGGAAGGCACGAAATCATCCGATTCATCATGAAGAACCAGTCGCAGAAATCCGAAAATGGATCCGCACAAACTACCACTCCCAAATTGGAAGCAAGGCATAAGCTCGCTCTACACCCATCTGAAACAAGTCTGAGACACAGTGTTACAACACGATCTGCGTAGACCGGGGTCAGCGTTTCGGATGTTCATGCGCCCTTTTGTTTGGGCCGAGTGTGCTCAGCATATTCATGTCAACGTGCTTCCAGGCTGCTTCCAAATAAGTAGGGCGATGTGCGGCAAAAAGGACAATTATGGCGCTGGAGCGCCGGGCTGTTCACATGGAGCCGCGCACGTGGCGGTTGCCATGTCATGAGCGTCCACCGCGCCAGTCTCGCTCGCCGGCATGTCACGAGCGCCAGTCTCGCTCGCGGGCGGTTTCCGCCTGTCCCGCGCCAGTCTCGCTCGCGGGCGGCATGTCACGAGCGTCCACCGCGCCAGTCGTGTCACGAGCGTCCACCGCGCCAGTCTCGCTCGCGGGCGGCGGTGTTCCGCGCTGAGCGTCCACCGCGCCAGTCTCGCTCGCGGGCGGTTTCCGTCACGAGCGTCCACCGCGCCAGTCTCGCTCGCGGGCGGTTTCCGCATGTCACGAGCGTCCACCGCGCCAGTCTCGCTCGCGGGCGGTTTCCGCATGTCACGAGCGTCCACCGCGCCAGTCTCGCTCGCGGGCGGTTTCCGCATGTCACGAGCGTCCACCGCGCCAGTCTCGCTCGCGGGCGGTTTCCGCATGTCACGAGCGTCCACCGCGCCAGTCTCGCTCGCGGGCGGTTCCGCATGTCACGAGCGTCCACCGCGCCAGTCTCGCTCGCGGGCGGTTTCCGCATGTCACGAGCGTCCACCGCGCCAGTCTCGCTCGCGGGCGGTTTCCGCATGTCACGAGCGTCCACCGCGCCAGTCTCGCTCGCGGGCGGTTTCCGCATGTCACGAGCGTCCACCGCGCCAGTCTCGCTCGCGGGCGGTTCCGCATGTCACGAGCGTCCACCGCGCCAGTCTCGCTCGCGGGCGGTTTCCGCATGTCACGAGCGTCCACCGCGCCAGTCTCGCTCGCGGGCGGTTTCCGCATGTCACGAGCGTCCACCGCGCCAGTCTCGCTCGCGGGCGGTTTCCGCATGTCACGAGCGTCCACCGCGCCAGTCTCGCTCGCGGGCGGTTTCCGCATGTCACGAGCGTCCACCGCGCCAGTCTCGCTCGCGGGCGGTTTCCGCATGTCACGAGCGTCCACCGCGCCAGTCTCGCTCGCGGGCGGTTTCCGCATGTCACGAGCGTCCACCGCGCCAGTCTCGCTCGCGGGCGGTTTCCGCATGTCACGAGCGTCCACCGCGCCAGTCTCGCTCGCGGGCGGTTTCCGCATGTCACGAGCGTCCACGCGCCAGTCTCGCTCGCGGGCTCGCGGGCGGTTTCCGCCTCACGAGCGTCCACCGCGCCAGTCTCGCTCGCGGGCGTTCCGCTTGCCACGAACGTCCACCGCGCCAGTCTCGCTCGCGCCGAGCTTCTCGCTCGCGGCGGTTTCCGCCTGTCACAAGCGTCCACCGCACCAGTCTCGCTCGCAGGCGGGTTCCGTGTTCCGTGTTTCCGCATGTCACGAGCGTCCACCGCGCCAGTCTCGCTCGCGGGCGGTTTCCGCATGTCACGAGCGTCCACCGCGCCAGTCTCGCTCGCGGGCGGTTTCCGCATGTCACGAGCGTCCACCGCGCCAGTCTCGCTCGCGGGCGGTTTCCGCATGTCACGAGCGTCCACCGCGCCAGTCTCGCTCGCGGGCGGTTTCCGCATGTCACGAGCGTCCACTGCGCCAGTCTCGCTCGCGGGCGGTTTCCGCATGTCACGAGCGTCCACCGCGCCAGTCTCGCTCGCGGGCGGTTTCCGCATGTCACGAGCGTCCACCGCGCCAGTCTCGCTCGCGGGCGGTTTCCGCCTGTCACGAGCTTCCACGCGCCAGTCTCTCTCGCGGGCGGTTTCCGCCTGTCACAAGCGTCCACCGCACCAGTCTCGCTCGCAGGCGGGTTCCGCATGTCACGAGCGTCCCCCGCGCCAGTCTCGCTCGGGGGCGATTTCCGCATGTCACGAGCGTCCACCGCGCCAGTCTCGCTCGCGGGCGGTTTCCGCATGTCACGAGCGTCCACCGCGCCAGTCTCGCTCGCGGGCGCTTTTCGCATGTCACGAGCGCCCACCGCGCCAGTCTCGCTCGCGGGCGGTTTCCGCATGTCACGAGTGCCAGTCTCGCTCACGGGCGGTTTCCGCATGGCACGAGCGTCCACCGCGCCAGTAGTCTGCACCACACCCCGTCCCCAGCCAGTCTCGCTTGCGGGCGGTTTCCCAGCCACGCCCAGTCTGCGTCCCCCCAGCCAGCCAGTCTCGCTCGCGGGCAGCTTCCAGCCAGCCTTGCACACCCAGTCTGCACCACACCGCCGTCCCCCCAGCCAGCCTCGTACGCCCGGTCTGCACCCCCAGCCGGCATCGCACGCCCGGTCTGCAGCACAACGAAATGGAAATCCCTTCTTATCTCCGTCGTCACAGCTTGTATCGCTCCCAGACACCTTAAGAGAAAACCTAAAGCAGAACCCAAGCATCAGAGATGCTTTTGGGAAAAAGGCGCGTGCCCAAGAAACCCGAAGCGACCTGACGCATGGGTTCTGGATGCAGAACTGCCAGGTGTCCCAGTGGATTCCCGCAAGTTGGGAACCAGAGGTTCCCGAAATGTGAGAAACGGGGGTCTCGTTTTTCAGGGAAACCCATGTTGGTTGGCTTTAAGACAAAGCCCAAAGGAAACCCACATGGTTTTGTCTTTTTGTTGGCGGGGTCCTTATTCTTAAAACAAACAAACCCAAACAGTCTCCACCTCAACCAAGAAGCGCATCGGCAGTTTGGGTCAGGACCTCGACAGTGAAACCCAAACAAATAAAACCAGGAGAGCACGGGTCAACGCATCCAACCGGACGAAATGAGTCCAAACAAGGTGACGCGGGTACACTAGCTAGAAGACCTCGAATGGGCAGATGATGGTGCCCAATCAAACGGATATCAACAAGCCTTTGATAGGCACTGAGGCCAGATGCGATTCATCCCATCTGAATGGGAGACAAGATGCCCATGAAGTGTCCTATGGGGTTCGAGATATGGGCCACCGCTTGATCTTTTCAGAAGCGCCATTTGCCTGAGGACTGGGAAACCCATGTTCTTCATGACGTGAGTTGAACTCATGGCTTGAGAGGCCATGTACCTACAGTGATCGGCCAGAGTTTGGGCTATCTAGGGAGAAGTGGAGAAAGTCTGAACAAAGCACGAGTTCTTCGAAACGTATCCCATGGGCGCATGCATTCATTTGATGCAAGGTGAATATTGCTGGCACTTGTCAAGCACTTTGCTTTGAGTAAAACCTGCAAGACGCTTGATATGGCTACTCCAGGGTGAGTGTACTCAGACGTATCAAGGAACGTCAGAACCCTCGTACTCTTGTGGGGACACGGCAAACAACTTTGTGCGTGAGCCGTGGTCAATATTCATCACGTCACCAATTTTCTGGCAACTTGTCTAAAAATTACCTGTCCCCTTGCACTACAGCAAACTACAAAGTCTCGACTTCCATACGTGCAAAAGAGATCACCCCATACGTCTTCGAACCATTCGCCGGCCTCGCAGGTCACATTCTCCGCCATCGGCCCCTTCCGAGGCTCCTTGGATTGTGAGCCGAAGCAACGAGCCTTCAATCCTATGGATCCCCCAGCACACCAACTGAATAGGCCTATCAGCGAGGATTTAACAGCTCCAAAGCTTGAATGAATGCCCGTGATGACGTGAACAAAGGGCATGTTCACGTGGCTCAACATGTTCAGCGTCGAAGCTATGCTTGGCCCAAAAAATCCAGCGGCATGCCTGTCGTGCGAGCAAGCACCGCTCGCGTGCATCCAAGTCTCTCAGCTCGGGGGGTGACAGGCCGCTCAGGATGGCATGCAAAGGTGCAAGATTCGGGCGAGCCGCCGGACTTTCTGACTTGGCTGTGGGTCAAGAATAGGTACCCCAAATGGAACCCTAGTAAGTGGAAACATGGACCAAAACCTGCAGCCCCCTGGTGGGTTAATTGTGACCCATACCCACTTGCTATTCGGCTTTGACTGGGGCTGGGCACGTGATCCCCACAAAGCCACTGTCCGAGTTTGGGGGGGGGGTGATACCTGTTGTCGGCTGTGTGACAGGCGGTCGCTTGGAGTCATGCAACGGGTGAAATTCGTGGCGCGGCGCGGAAGTCGACGGCATGGATATTGAAACAACAAATGGTGCCTCAACTGAGTCACAATCAAATTCCGGCGCTAAAAATGGTCTGCAAAGGCGGCCGCACCTAATTCTGGTTGGGACTGTCCCTTACTAACCTTCCCTTACCCTGGTTTGAGTATGACTCAATTGATCGGTTGACACACCCCTCTTTTAAAGTCCCAAGAGCATTGAAGGAACAACGGCCCCGGACCATTTCGCGCAATCTCCTTTTCTGCTCAGGATTCTCCGGGTATGAAGTGAAGATCCGTCGCTGAAATCTTTCAGAGGAAGAATAACTTCCGCCTCCAAGATCAAAGCAAATTCGGACCTCACATCGCAGGTGCAGCACGCCGAGAAGGAATAGGATGATCAAAGCCGAATCATTCGGGATAAATTGCCACCAGGGGTAGTGTTTCGACAATCTGCAATGTGTTCAATTCCAAAACCTAAACGTTGTCCCGAGAAAGGGCCTTCATAAGCTTGTTTTACCCCCGGAGCTCGTTGTGCAATTGGCGGAATAATTCGCACTTCCTCTTTTGCATCAGGAGAAACTGAAGTACAGGTTTCCGGCCCTCTCGATCCCAGAAAGTGTGCAAGTCACCCACAGGCTTACGAAACCAATCCGAAAGCAATGTTTACAAAAAACAGAAAATTGTAGGCCCGTGATAGGCCCCCTTCAAGAATATGCAGACGGACAAATGATGTATGAGAGTCTCGTCCAAAACAACCGCGCTGTAAATTCTGAAAGCAATGGTACGGGATAGTTTTGAGCACAGTATCATAGTGTCGGTCAAGAATTAATGAGTCAATCAAGGCAAGCCAGCACTGCCAGAACTAAGCGAACATTTGAGGGCCTCTCAAAAATCACTTTTGGGCAAATCAGTAAAACCGCAATTAAGACTTAGAGAGAACATTTGAGGATGTGTAATGTTTGCATGCGTGTGGGGACTAAACCGCCAGTTGCCGGAAGAAGAAAATCAAAACAGAAGGGCTCGCAGACGGTGATTGTTTGACGTTGGATCGGTGCTTCAGTCCAAGAAACTGCCCTCACCAAACGAAATAGAGGCTTCATCTCAGCGGCAATAGGCGAATAGATCGAGTATACCATCTCGGCGCTTTCCTCAAAAAGCTCAAACTGGCTATGCGTGAGTCTTTGACATTGAGAACCCCGCGGATTGTCAGTTTGTACGGTTGTCCTCCACCCAAAAAAAGTGATCCTCAAAAAAGGACACGCCAATTATAAATAAAAGAATAGGTGGTCCCTGCCTGCCTGAGGCTGGCAGAACCAGCATTTGCATGCATATTGACAAAATCTGAAACGCTGCGCAGGCTGCGAGTGGGAAAGGGGATCAAGGGACATCATTGACCTTTGTGTCATACAAATTGTCAAGAAGAAGTTCTCTCTTTGCCCCGCGCAATGCTGAAAGCCAAACCTCGTCTTGGCTCGGCCTCAGCACCTGGTACGCTTCAGTCAAGGAAGATATTATCTTCTGATTTTGAGCAGGCGTTTTGGGGCAGTATCGGCTAGACAAAATCGCCGTACAAAAAATTATCCATCGAAGCATCGGGCACCAAGTGGCCGCCCTCGGGCAAGAAATGCTGGTGCCTCGACGTAAGGTACTTCGCCCGCGAACTGGCCTTCAATAAGGCAGTGCCCAAAACCCAAGCTGACTTTTGATTCTACCAAGATGGCAAAAACAATGTTTGGGCCTTACCGTACGGCCAGGTGCTTTCACGGACCTTTGTGGGTTTTGGGCATTGCAAGACGCAGGACCCCGGCAAAATAGATTCAAAGGAAACAAACAAAAAGCATCCCTATCTGCCGTATTGCAGGTTTGAAGTGGTTTCAAAGGGCTCAAAATGCCGGGAAGGGGGAGGGGGTGGTCTGGTGGAAAAGGTCATGCAGTAGCCATCCCCGCTCGAAATCTGGGATCTAAGATCTGCCAGTGCCAAAAGAAGCTATATTTAACAGCTACATGCGAAACATTACCAGTAACCCTGGCTTCGAGGATCCCCACAAAATAAAACCATCCATTCCAAAGTGAGGAGAGCCCCACTTTAGAGATTTTAGAACCTGGAAAAGAGTAGCAACTCCTAAAATAATTTCACACACGCACAACTCGGAGCTGAGGGGCTCCCCACTTCAGAGACTTTAGAAGCCACCCCTAACAAACGATCGCACTCAACTCGGAATTGAGGGGCTCCCCACTTCAAAAGATGTTGGAAATCACCCCTTTCAAGAAAAAATAACTCGCAACTCGGAATCGAGGGGCTGCTCACTTCAGAGATGTTAGAAGCCATCCTCAAAAACACACACACACACACACACACACACACACACACACACACACACACACACACACACACACACACACACACACACATACAACTCGGAATTGAGTTGCTCCCCACTTCAGAGATGCTAGAAGCCAGCCCTTGAGACAATCACACACAACTCGGACTTGAGGGGCTCCCACTTCAGAGATGTTGGAAGCCATCCCAAAAAAAAGAAAAGCACGCACACAACTGCCACTTGACGACTTGAGGGGGCTTTGCGGGGCCCCTTGAAACTCGCCTTTTTGAGAGACTTTCGAAGCCACCCCCCCCCCCAGAAAAAAGATCCTCGCCGATCTGAAACCGCCAGATTGACAGATTGAGAGGATGTGGTGGGTCTGACTACAGGCTCACAATGCTGATGCCATGGCTTTTGGTCTTCAGCAGGAAGCAGGGCTTCGCCGTGAGGAGTCCAGGCAGCTCCGGTTCCATCGGCAGCCGCCTGACTCTCTGACTCTCTCGCTCCGGGGCGCGGTCTGGGCTCTTGTACTATCCTGGAGCTGAAATGGGATGTCTCCTTTGGGTCTGTCGGAAAGTGATCTTTGAATTGGCCAAGTTGAGGAACCCTGTGACAAGTAAGCGGCCTGCTGCAAAAAAGACCGGTCATCGAGAAGAGTGTACGCCGCTTTTGTTGACTGCACGTTGAGCAAGTTCAGGAGCTAGGGTATTGAATAGTGACAATGAACAGGCAGTTTGCGCTGACTACATCTACAAAACAAATACGACCACGCAACATGACCAGGTCGGTTGAATCAGTATCGCGTGCTTAGCCTGCAGCGTGAATGAACAACACCGCAAAAGCCGAGTTGTACAAGACCGCATGAGGCACCGTCAAAATTCAGGTGTCCCCAAAGGACATGGGAATGCGGTGAGCAACCCCCCTGTCCTACTTGTATTTTGGTGGGTCATCCCCTTTACTAGTGGATAGTACTTCCCCCGGGCCGAGCTCCTGCGTCAAAAACCTTTCAAAAACTGCCCACCCTTACTGCAAATTGGAGGCCGAAACGCCCATTGCCAAAATGGGCTTGGAGACCGGTCCATCAAAGCATTTGAAATAAGCTCAGGTGATATCCCCAACAGCATGCGGTGCTCTTTTTAGTGCTCGCACCACCCCGCAGCCCTCGTGGAACCCTGGCGGAACCCTGGTGGAACCCTCGTGGAACCCTCGTGGAACCCTCGTGGAACCTTACCGCAGGGCCGCCCCGGACCACCCCGGAGCCGATCTGGGCTGAGACCCCAAAGCTTTCAGATGTTGGGGAAAAACCGAGGGACCGAAAACCACCCAACTGCCTTCCACTGTCGCTCACTATGTTGTACTTTGTCTGTAGTTTCAATCCCTCAAAGGCCCTACAAATGGTTTTATCCCGCCCCCTCCCCTCCCCCCCCCCGCATTGCCAAACAGCAAATGGGAATGGGAATACCGGCCCAACAAAGTGTCCACGCAAGTCCGACGCCAAAACTGCAGTTTCGCAAAACTCCGCTCATGCCCCAGACCCATCCATGGAAAGCCTCTCCAAACAAGAACAAGAAGGAAGCCACCCGCTGGGAGTCTGCAGTCGTCCAATTCACCCGAAACGCCTCGGCGAAGCAAGCGGGCTCGGATCGGATGTGTGGGGCGTCTGGCGGCAACAGGCCACGTAGTGCTCCAGCTCCTGACGCATAGGGAACGCTGGAAACAGCTAGCATCAGCATCCGGGTCCCAACTGTTTGGGGCCAAAAAGTGTCTCAAATCTCAAGTGTCCCACAATCTCAAGTGTCCCAAAAGCAGCGGTTATAGCAGTGGTTGTAGCAGCAGTTATAGCAGTGGTCAAAGCAGTGGTTGCAGCAGTGGTTAAAGCAGTGGCTAAAGCAGTGCTGGCAAGGGATTGGGGGTATAAAGCTTTACCTGAGGGGAGAACCACAAAAGTGCCTGCCTTTTCTTCACGCTTTCTCCCAATGTTTGGGGGGTCACCCGGCCCGTTGGCAAAGCGAATGCTGAGCACAGTTGGCGCTGGAGCAGTGCGAAGCCCAAAAAACAGTTTGAGCCTCAGTCCTGAAAGCCACCCGGATGTGTTTTGGCGGGTGCGTTTTGGAGGTCTCCAACATGCGAAAGCAGATGGGGCAGTATATTCGCTCATTGGCTTCATTGAAACGGGGTATAAAAACCCTTGCTGTGGTGTTGCCATGTAGTGTCCCAACAACACCCACAGGGGGTGGTGATTTGGGGCCAATGTTTGAGGTGAATTGATCCTTCCTTGTAATGGTAGTGGTTTCCCTCGTCTTGCTTCTCTGAAATCCCGAATTTTCCACAGGCGTAACCCAGTTGCCAGGGTTCCCATGTGATTGACCCAAGAAAAGAATTGGGCTGCCTGAACATCCCTTCGAGACCTCGGCTTCCCCCAAAAACCTCTTCGCTTCAAGCGGGCCGAACCGAAAACGCCGAAAGGAAAACGCCCTCCGGTCCCTTCCTCTGGGTTTCGCTCCACCGACTGCAAGAAGCTCTCCAAGCTTTGCCTGCCCAGAGCCTTGCGCATCGCCCGCCTTTCCATGGAGTCCGACGTGCAACGGGCGACTTTGTTGCGCCGAAGGCTGAGTCAGAATCCGACAGATGGAAAACTGCTGAAAGTGTCTCGACCCACATGAATCTATGCTTAAAAAATGCTCTGAAGCCATACGAATCTAAAGATCTGATCTCCGCACTTTCGCCCTCAGCTTTCGAGCCAATGCCTTGAGCCAAGGCACGCCGTCCTGAAGGTTTGCCTCGTTTTGGATTTCGGGGGGGGGGGGGGGAAACGAATGCTAGGCGGGAAAGGAATGCACAAAAGAGCTGGACTTTGGGCTGGTGAACACAAAAATTGCGTCTGCTTGCCAGAACACCGATAAACTGTCGTCAAGCTTCACAGAAACCCCGCTGTTCCATCTGCCTTCGGTGACAGAAGCCTTCTTGCCATCCTTGATTCTGATTGTGACATGTGCGAGATGCACTCGCGCTAAGCGTGCTATGCACTCGAGTAGCGAGAAAACGTCAGCCCTGTGCTTGAAACGTGGCCCTGCCTACCTTTTCGGGATCGCTCTCCGCCCTAGTGCACCCAAAGACTGGAAATCTTGGGGGGGGAGGTTTCAAGGCTTCCAACTCAGCAAAGGTCCCTTGGCCAGGTGCCCAAGCCTTCCCCACAAGTCGATCTGACCAAGTCTACCGGCAAATGCAAGATGCGCCAAACAAATGAAGCAATACTTGTTCGAAGATGCGAATGCAGTATTTCCCAGCGCCTGTGCAGGGTTCCGTTGCTTGATGACCCCACCATTTCCTCAAAAGGAGGACCCTTGGGTTTAAGTCTGCCTCAATCAAAAAAGGACTGCGCCTGTGGGCAGATCAAATCATGTTTGTCCAACTCAATTTCAACCTCTGACAGAAACCTACCTCATGGTGGCCACCAGCGCTTGTTTGCAGCCAAACCAAATGATTTCGCTGAAAAAGATGTGTTATTTTGTTCACATACACACAGAATTGTCCTTCGGTGCAAGCCGGAGCCCTTCTTATTGGAATCTGTTGACCGAGTTTTCTGGTGTGTTTGTAGTCTTATGATTCTTCCGAATGACGGGTTTTTTGTTCCACCCCAAAAATGAACCCTGGGAAAAGGGTGCCATTTCTTCCATAGGGTAGACTTTCTACCTTGGGGTCATCAAAAAACGGAACCCCGGTGCCCTTGTTCCTTCTGCGCCCTCTGGTGATAGGTTGCTGCGTGGCCAAGACATGCGCCCGCTCGCGCCTCGGAGCCTGACCTGAGACCCCCAACATGAGCCATGGTCAAGCACCTTTTTTCTCTCAAAGACGAGAAATGGGTATGAATCTTAATTGGGGACCCTTTGGTGGACATCATCTAGGTGGGGATCTCTGTCCACCTACCACGTTTCAGGGGTTCCCTAATAGAATTCATGGACAAATGTGTGTCTCCCCTTGTGGAAATGTCCAACACCTCCCGAATGGACAGACTGGAAAGTTGACAGGACCGAGCCTCACACGGATACAAGTATATATATATATATATTATATCAAGAATAGGGGTGCTCAAAACAAACCGAGGTTCCTGTCGGTTTCCCTTAAAACAAACCCCAACATGCGCACCCTCAAGATTCGCGACTCCCACATATGTTTTTCCCCGAAAGCATAGCGAAGGGTTTCTGTGCTAAAATCGCCGGAGAGATTTCACAAAGGGATGTGGCCGAGAGATCGACGGACAGATTGCGCCGAGAAATCTGCCCCGGAGATCCCCCAAGAGATTCAAACAGAAATGTCACCAAGAGATCGCCCGAGAAATTGCGCAAAGGACAAGTCAAAGAGAGATTGCTCAGAGAGATCGCGCGTAAGATTGCTCAGAGAGATGTTAAGGAGAGATGTCAGAAACGCTCAATCTCTCATGTCAAGGAGAAATGTCATGAGGAGGTTGCTCAGAGACACATGAGATTCACTGCTGGGAGCGATTGCACTTGAGATTGCGCAGGGCGACTGCACCGACCCCAGCCCACCCCCTAAACCAACATCCTGAGCCAACCCAAACCAACCCTTAACGAACCCTGAACCAACCTAAACCTGCCCACAACCCAAACGCAAGCAACCCAAAGCTCGCCGGCCCAACCTGCCAAAACCAACCCTCAACCAACCTAACGCACCCCCAAAACCCACCGTACACCAATGCTACAAAAACCTGAAAACAAGCCAAAACCGACTATACACCAACCCCAAGCCCTCACCCCAAACTAACCGTCTAACCCCAAGCCAATCCTAAACCAACCCTAAACCCACCCCTAAATCAACCCCTAAACCAACCCTAAACCCACCCTAACTCCACCCTAAACCAATTCAAACTCTGAGCCATGCGTGCTTGTGGGATTTCTCATTGAACGTGATTCTGGTTCGAGCTGAAACGCAGAGCACTTCAAAAAGGCATCCCGACCGACTTCGCGGGGCCTTGCAGGGGACTCTTCCTGACGGCAGAGTGCTCGCCATCGCCTCTTCGCCCTCTCGGCTCCGTCAGCCACGTTGACCCATGGCTCCAGGCAAACAGAAACTCAACCCTAAGCCCACCCTAAACAGACCCCAAAACAACCCTAAACCTGCTCTAGACCAACCCTGAGAGCCCACCCCCCACCTCAATCCCACTGTGAACCGACCCTACACTAACCCACCTGAAATCCACATTCAACCCACCCCATATCAAATCCAAGCTAACCCAAAGCTAGCTCATTCGCGAGGCCCGACTCCCGCCCGCTGCCCAGGTCGCACAAAAATGCCTCTTGCGGTTTTTTGGGCATGGAGGAAGTCTCGCTCGCGCAGGGTGTCTTGAAGGCCCAAGACCAAAACCAGGCACATTGTATCTAACGATCCGAGTCCTGCTGATACATGAAACTTTCTTGGACGGGATTGCAAGTCGATTCATGGACCTGAGACAGACTGCCGGCAAGACGGGAAGGTGACGCAACGCCCAGTCAAACAGCGGGGTCCGAAGGAGACAACTGGCCAGAAAAGCAAGCCAGTGTACTTCAAAACCCGACTAAACGATTAGTGACAATGCAGGTGGGTGTTTTTTGTGTACCTTGTTTGTGGTTCTAAAGAAAGGCCAAAAGGAAATCCGCGATATTTTCAGAGTCCCTTGTTCAAAGTCACACCCATGTAGCCGGCACAAAAGTGGAAAAGAATTTCACGAAGCCCGGAAGGGCTGCCAACGAAGTCTGCCGCTTCCCGCGGGCGCTTGTGGCCCCCAGAGGCAGCCGTTTAGAGATTTGAGATGGAAAGCAAAGCCAACGAACCCCCCGGGTCCATTCATTTTGAGCCAAACCCATTTTGAGGTTGCTGAAATTCCGAATCTTCGAGGCTTTCAAGGCGCATCCGATTTGGCGGGATAGAGAAGTGGGAATTTCCGAGGCCGGAGCTTCCGCTTCAGCTCGGCCATGTAGCCCTGACAAGAGGCAAATTACAGGGACCCAAACAAAACAGACTGTGGGTTTTTCATGTTGGTTTCCCTAACCGGCTCGAGAAAAAAACAGTGCTACTCCAAGAAACACACGCACACCACATGGCAAGCGTCGGAAGCAACTGCCAGAGTTGGCTGGATGCACATTGAGTTGACCGAATCCTGCTTCTTGTTCTGGGAGTGTGACCAGGCTCCAGAAAGGCCCGCCATGGGGCCTGCGTTTGTGAAATACCTGAAAATTTCAGAACAACACGCGTCAGTACAGACTTTCTCACGTATTCTGAAAAAGGACATGTGACCCAAACCGAGAAAACCACAAGAAACACAAAGACCTCTTTCAAAAAAAAAACGGAAATGACCAGTACCTACAACGTTTTGTTCTGGGGATTGTGTTTTGACTGTTGATTTGTGTGGTGTCCCGAGGTTTTGCACTTCCCGTACTGTCCCCTCAGTGTTTTCCGAGTATTCCTTCCGTGTTATCTCACTATTCTCTTGGTATTCCATTGTATAGTATTCCGCTACTATTCCCTGGGAATTCCTCATTGTTCCTTTAGTATTCCCCCATCCTCCCCATGTTCCTTTACTATTCTCTTGCCCCTAGTGTTCTCTCAGCCCTCCCCAGCATTCCTTTAATATTCCCTAGGCATTTCCTGAGTATTCCCCTAGTATGTTCCTAATATTCACAATACTTCCTGATATTCCCTTAGTGTATTCTCCTAGTAGTCCCCGAATATTGCCCTAGTACTCCTGAGTATTTGCGTGGCATACCCCTAGTATGTTCCCAGTGTTCCCCTAGTAACCCTAGCATTCCTTAGTATTTTCTTGGTTTACCCGTAGTATTCCCCTATTATTTCCTCTTGTGTTCCACTGGAATAGCTTATTATCCCCTCAGTGTTTCCCTAGTTCGTTGCTACTCAGAAACTGAAGCGCAGTTGCAGGATATTAGGGCAAGTACAAAGGGGAATGCGGGGTACAAGAAGAAAATGCCGAGGAATACTGTACAGTATTAGGGGAATACTAGGGGAATACAACTCTAGGGGTAAGATAATGCTGCAGGAATAGGGGACTATTAGGGGAATCTAGGGGAATGCTAAAGGAATAGGGGACTATTCAAGGAAATACTAGGGGGAAATGCTAGCGGAATATTAACGGACCAATACTAGTGAATAGTATGAAAATGCTAGGGGAATACTGAGGGACTACTTGGGGAATGTTAAGGAATCTAGGCGAACACTGAGGAAATACTAAAAGGTGCCAAGAGAATACTAGAGGAGTACTAGGCGAATACCGAGGAAAGTGCAGGGGGCTGCTAGGGAATTACTAGGGGCATACCAAGAAAATACAAAAGGAGTTAGCGGAATACTAGGAGAAAACAGAGAAGATGCTCAGGCATTCGGGGAGCACCAGGAGAATACTAGGGGAATCATAAGGGGAATACTAGGGATATATTATGGGAGTACTAGGGAAGCACAAAGGGCAAATACTCGGAAAGCAGTATGGAATACTTGGGAATAGATACTAGGGGAACACTGAGGAGATACTAGAGGGTATACCAGGAGAATGCTAAAGGAATTTTCTGAGAATACTGAGGGGATAGGAGACTGCTGGGGGAATGCAGATTACTAGAAGAATGCTAGGGAATTACCAAGGAAATTTGTTAAGGGAATACTGAGAGAATATTAGGGGTATACTAAGGAAAAAAGGAGGTAATTACTAGGAGGTTACTAGTTACGGGAATACTCAGGAATTCTAAAGGAATTTTAGGGGGATACTAAGAGAATGCCAAGGAAATCCTTGGAGAATACTGATTGTCAGAAAACGGGGGAGGAAAGATGCTTGCAGTGGGTGGCCTTCTCCAAAGAACTCCGAAGACCAGGCGCTAGTAAAGGTGCATTCATCTGTGCCAAGGTGCAAAACTGGCGGATTTCAAAACACAGGCCCCACGGCGGGCCGCTCTCTTGTCATAAGGACAAAATTCCTTGCTTCTCATCGTTCGCACAAAAGTGGTGCGGGTGATCATTGTCGCGTTCAACCTGTGCAAGGCGCATTCTCGAGGCAAACAAAGTCGCTTTTTTCAAAGTCGCCCAACCAATGGTCCTGCTATGTTGACCACGCGGAGGCAAGCCGTTCATACGTCTATTGATGTACCTCCTGGCTGATCAAACGTCAGCTAGCTTGTCGGTTTGGTAAAACCTTGTCAACTTGTCTGTATAGAAACGAAAAGCCACCCGCCAAGAGGGGCCTGTCAGGGGCGCGACGCCAACTCCACGCAAGCCACGCCAAAAAGGGTGTGGCTTGCCCCGTGCTAGGAGCGCAAATACTACACTTAATGCCGCTGGCAGTCTTGGCATTGTTGGCATTGTTGGCATTGTTGGCATTGTTGGCATTGGTGGCACTTTTGTTGCTTGGGTGGCGGCATATCAAGCTGACACACAATACAAACCTCAATGGCGCTATAGCACAAAGAGCAAATGTAGTCAGAACCGTCAAATACCACAGTATACAAACAGCATGGAGTTCGGAGTAGTTGTCAGCAACCATGGAATCTGCAGTCAAGCTCCTGGTTGAGTTCGGCAAATTATGTTGTTCAAGGGTGGAAAGGTTCACAAACCTTCCTAGCGTAAATCCTAGCTTTGAACATGTTGGAAAGAGACATGACGTCAACGTGAGCTCAAAACCTGTGGAGGGGAAGCCTCTGCAGACTTGGGCGCCATACTTTCAAAACTGGTTGGCTTGCTAGTAGCGCAGCCGGCAGATGTCGATCCGGACTTTTCTCAAAACTCGATTTCGTTCTTGCGTTATTTAATAGCTATGTATCGAAGAAGTAATTTAACTATAAAGCTAATCCGCTAGATAGAAAGGGAAAACAAAGAGAAAGAGAAGAAGAGAGATAACAAAAAATGAAAGGGAAAGACTAAGGAAAGAAAGAGAGAGAGAGAGAGAGAGAGAGAGAGAGAGAGAGAGAGCGAGAGAGAGAGAGAAAGAGAGCGAGCGAGCGAGAGAGGGAGAGAGAGAAAAAGCTAAAAAGAGAACAAGAGACAAATAGAAGAAGATAGAGAGAGCGAGAGAAAGAGACTGAGGGAGAGAGAAAAAAAAGACAGAAAAGAAAGAGAAAGACAGAGAAAGAGAAAGAGAAAGAGAAAAAGGTAAGGAGGTAGGAAAGGACGGAGGGAGAGACGGAGGGAGAGAGGGAGGGAGGGAGAGGAAGGGAGGGCGAGAGAGAGAGAGAGAGAGACAGCAGAAAAGGAAGTCATACTGATGGAGCAGCATAAGAATTCGCTGAACCAGCAAGAACATAAAAATCGTTTCTACAATGTGCACGGAGGAAAAACAAAAAAAGAGGAAAAAACGAATAGCCTTCCCCCATCCCACACTTCCCGACTCCGGTTCCTTCCCGCCTTCTGGAGCTCCCGACATTGCCGCGAAAGCTGCTGCCTCCCCGCTCGCAAGCGCGCTACACGAACGCCCGTTGCGCCCCCTTTGGGGTCGTGAGCCATCTCAATCTTTGCCTCCAAAAAAATAGGGTACCCCCCCCAAAATGGAAGGAGAAGAAGGCTTTTTTCTTTTCTGGTTGCCCATTTGAAATCAAAGGCCCAAACAACCGGGGGTCCCAAAAAATGACGAGCCGCCCATCCCATTTCTGAAGGAGACCCTCATCCGTGGCCGAGCTCCGGGCAGCTGCGAGGCCAGGCTCCGCTGCATGTTCTGCCGGAACTCGTCGTCCTGAGAGAACCAAAGGCCGCTACAGGCCACCTGGACATGGGTGGCGCGCGTCCTTTTTTAGGAATCGGACCCCGGTATTCCTTTCAAAACCACGAAAAAGGAGTACCCTCCAAAAAAGACACGCCCATAGATCGTCAACATACGGGAGACACCCCAACTGATTGGTTTGCTTTTGGCTTCCCTTTACATCAACCCCAATCAGAGCATCCTCCAAAAAGCAGATAGGATGAGAAATCGGACCTTACAGTATGCAAGCAAAATGCCATCACAGCAGTTGGAATGCCATGGTCAGACCCAAAGACTGTTCCAACAGCCTGCCCATTGCCTCCGATTTCATAGTTCGACCGCCCACCGTTGAGCAAAGTCCAACTGCACGAATGCCAATAGAGACAGGTTTGAAGCCGCAAGAAGCAAAATAAGGGTCTTGGCTCTCAGGTCGCTGGATTATGTATATATATATATATATGCATGTACGTGAAAAATGAAATGCATGGGAGAGGGCGACTGATCAAACTAGATGCGCGTAGCGAGGCTAAGATTCAAATCAACCTGGATCCATATGCGCGTTGTTGGATTGTGCGTGGATGTTGGGTGTCTGTGTTGCCCCTTTAGCTCAAGGTCCAATTCGAGCGAGAGCATGCTGGATGTGATGGGGCCACTGAGCCCGCAGCCAGCAGACCCTCCTTCTTGCCCACCGCACCTCAGAGCAAAGGCCCCTACAGGTTGTCTCAACAGGATTTGGACCCAAAAACCGTGGTGCCTCTGTCAACTTTGTGAATCTTTAGGGCAGGAATAGTCACAGACCCTCTGGCGGACGTTCCCTTGGGTTTCCCAAACCCCCCAAAACAAATGGACACTCGCCGAAAGACCTGCCCCATTGCAAAGATGCCCCGTGACGGCAGTCCTGGGCTTTCTGGGAGCCCCACGAATCTGGTGGATGGTCTGCTCGCAGCCTCGAAAAAATCGAAGGGACCCGTGTTCTTTGTAGGTGTTCTCATGCGAGGCATGGTCCACGTTCACTGTGTCAACTGACATTCTGGGATTCTGGTGAGCGCCCATCTTCCACTGGCAATTTTTGCTGAGTGTGGCCCATGTCATCCCTGCCATAGATGAGTGTAGATCTGACCGTAGCTCCTAGCCCCTCTCCAGCAAAGAGTAAGGGTCTGGTCGAAGAGGTCAAAAGCCGTCGAACCTCACCGGGCGTGAAGAATCCTCCGCAAGACCCTGATCAAAAGTTTCGATCGACGTCACGCTTGTGAGGCGCAAGAATACGTCGAGGGATGAGAGGCAACGGAAGTTGACGCTTGAATTGACGCTGTCGTGTATAAGGGTAAAGCGATTACCCGAGGGCCCCCGCATCGTATCAGCGTGGAGACATGGCTCGAGACGGCCTGGCAAATGGATGTTGTTTTTCAATATTGAACGGTCCACGCACCTTACCATACCTCCTGGCTTGCATTGAGCTCTTCATTCCGGGCTTGAAAAATATGCGACCGGGTGACTGCCACCATAAAATACTTGGGTATACTACTGGGAACCCTAATGGGGTGGGGTTCCTTTTGGCTTCCCTTCAAACCAATCTGACAAAGGACCGAGTCACAACTAAACACAAACCCAGACACGAACACATACATATACATAGGTACATATACATATAGGTTATATCCATATACATATAGGTTATATCGCATCGATTGAACCAAGTGACAGCCTTCACTCGTGCGAGCCGTTCAGTCAATCCCGCCTCAACGTCCCGCTCCTCTCTCTGGGCATCGCTGCCCAGGGGGAGATCCAAACGCCTGCCAGGCAAAATGTATCCGTGGATCCTCACCGATTGACCTCGGATGTGCACCGAGACAACAATGTCCTGACGTTCGATTTGCCGATAGTTCTCTGCCAGCATCGAACAGCACTCTCCTGCAGATTTCACATGAAACCCAAAAGGGAGGGTCCCACAAATGGAGTTTCTTCTACAAATGCATGATTTTTGGGTTCCATGTTCATCTGCGGGCGCGTAGCTCGTTTACAAGATCAACAACTCCAAGTGAACAACTGCCCCTCCACACGTTCTTGCGAATGCTGTGTGGCGCACAGCGTCAAAGATATCTTTGGCAAGCAGCTTGGCTATTGCTGGATTTCTGGATGTCCTCGCCGAGAAAACTACTTCAGGACTTGGGCAAACTAGGTCTTAACCCCTGGCGTTTGGGTGGGTTCTCCACCCTTTTCATCCATCCCCGTGCTGATGAATATACAGAATTCCTTTCCCAGCAAAATGCTTACGAAGAATGGTTCCCAACCCAAGCAAATCCCCACAGTCCTCTGCATCCCTTGAGCAGTTCCACGTTCTTCGGTTGTGGTTGACATGCGTCAATCTGATGGACAAAGTTGGGTGACCCGTTCAACAGGTTCTAGCAAATGAGTTCCTTTCGGATGCTATACAATTGACTGATAGTCCTCTCGTGCAAGCTGAAACCCGCTATTGGAACTTAATATGGTCCCCTGACAAAGTGGTACAAAGTGGCAAAGCGGAGAGGGGACATTGTGAATTCCATGAATTTGATACCGGGATATTGGCCTCTCCAATTACTACCAACAACAACAACAACAGCGACAAAAAACAAGCTGGCCAATTTAATCGGTAGAGACGAGGTTCATAAAAAGAGCAACAGAAATACTGGAACGAACGATGATCGAATCCTGCCACACAGCATGCCGCTCTGGCGCACCTCTTCTGGGCCTTCGACAGGTTCTCGATCTGCTTCTTGATCTCCTTAAGCTCCTGGGGGTATCCGGTTGCGAGCATAGCCGCGCCTAATGAATTTCCCCGGGGAACAGGGAATTAAGGGACTCTTTGTTTGTTGGCAGGAAACTCCCTTAAAAAAAAAGGGGAGCAACCCACTGGATGACTGGGTTTTCAGCCAGAAGAAATGCAAGCCAAACGCGAGTCCACTGCAATTCTGGGTGGGCAATCCAATCCGCCCACAACTTGCAGGACCCCTTGACATCCCTCAAAAACCCTCACACATCTTGATACCAAACTGATCAATATCCACAGGCAACCTGAGTTTCTGATAAGGGATCTGGCTTCCCATCCAGCGTGTTGCTTCCGCCATCAAGGTGGTATATATCACTCCTCATCTGCCCGCTCGGCATGGTCCACCCACTCGGGCGGCAGGCCTCACCCGGCGCTTGATCTGATCCAGGAAACGAGCAGCCCAAAACAGTGAAGGAACCTACCCAAACAAAGTTTGAGTCGTGCCAACACAGCTACCCCAGTTGAGACCCTCAACTAGACAAGCTGCCTGGATGCGAGTTGCCGTGTGGCATCTTCTCTCGAGCGGTGACTCGACGTAGCTACATGGATCAGAGCCATGGGACCTTGAAAGGATGCTTCACCCTCCCATCAAAAGCAACTGCTCTCACAAGAACTCCCCTCGCTGGAGTCGTCTCAGATCCTGGCAGGATCGATCCACCCTGCCAGAGCCGGCCTGGCGCAGCGTGTCGCAAACTGCGCTCTTTAAACGGCATGCCCGGGGTCTGGACCAGCAAAGCTTGCTGTCATGTTTGTTGATTTTGCTAATGATGCAAATTTCTCACAACCGGAAGGATCGTGGCTGAAAAGACTACAATTAAGTCCGGATCCAGTCTGAGAGGAAAGTCTGGCAGAGCACTGCACCACCCCGAGATGATGCAAAAACTATCTACCACAGAAGCCGAAGGTCTGCCCTGCTGGATGTGAGATGGTGGACTGGCTACTCTGGTCGGGCTGGTGTCAACAAAGCCCTTGCGATCTCGGAACTGCGGCCTCCTCGTCTTCCAGCAACGGCTGACTCCCAGGGTAGCCTGGCAACCCGGCAAACACACATGAGCTTGATGTTCATCCTCCAAAAAAAAAAAAACATCTCCGGAAAATTAAGGACCCGTTTATCCCTTTCAGGCGGCACCTTGGGCGGCAGCATCCCTTTAAAGTGGTATTTTCACACACACACACACACACACCAGCCAAGAGCTGATGTGTCAGATTTGTGCATTGCAAATGGCCTTGCGTGACACATAGGGCTCCATTTCTTGACGGTACCTGTTTCGGGTTAGTTTAAAGGGAAACTGTACAACCGATCATTTGTTGGATCAGCTATGCGTCATCTGCGGTAGTTCTGCTCAGCTCTGCGAAACACAAAGAACAGAGTCTCTATGTGCCCTTCCTGCGCGAATGAGCCTGCAAGATTCACCTGGTGAACGATGACACCATCTCGTGGTAGGCTTCAACAGGGCGCATTGTCGTTCTCCAAAAGGGAAAGCATCTCGATGATCTTCACAAAACAACTCGCATGCGTTTAAGGAAGGACCCCCCGGTAAAGCAATGGCAAGAGCTGCCCGAACAAAAACAAACACGTTTGGATAGCGGTTCTGTTACAAAGAACGATGATTTGGGCGATTTTGGAAGACAGCTGAGTCCGTGAATCGACTGCCCTCCAACTTGCGAAGAGGCACATTCCAAGCCGTCTCGGTTGCAACGCATCCTCTTGGCCCGAGCTATTGTATAACAGCAACTGGTAAGCAAGCAAGCAAGCAAGCAAGCAAGCAAGCAAGCAAACAAAACCGTTGCAAAACATCTTCAGCATGTTGGCCTACACTTTTGCAGGAAGTGGCTGCCCGGCCGTCTAGTGAAGGGACTGCCATGGATCTATTTGGGTTGCACCAGCGCAGCAAGGGTTCCATTCCCGACCCCGCTCCTCCGGAGGCAGCTGGCCTGGAGACGAGCGCGAAATCGCAAATGAAGCTATTCAATTGCACCCAGTGCAATTTCACAAGAAGAAGTTTCAAAGTCTCCTCAATGCCTCTAGGTTGGCCTTTTTCCGGGTGGTACTACTTAGATTCACATCAAGACCGGATTCTAGATGATCTTGATGCCAACGAGCAAGCCGAGCAATCTTCGCAGAAAATTATCCTTATGCATGTTAGCGTGGCTAGGCGCGGTGTTACTCGTGGGCCTTGAAAGGAACGTGTGTCTATCTTGAAATATGTATATACATATGCATACATATACATATATGCATATACATATAAATGTATATATATATATATCAGTATATACATATTGTAGATATATATGTCCGAGAAATATGCGAATATATGTGTATATCCAACACAAGATTGCCAATTGCGGCGCCCACGGGCGCCGAAGCCAAACCGGTCGAGGATCCGTTTCAGGTTCAAGCTTCGGCCCTTCGTCTCTCGCGTAGGAGCCTTGAACTCGTTCAACTCGACAGCGAGTGCTTCGACAGCGAGAAGTGCCCACACCGTGGTACAGACAGTGACTGCAAAAGCAAGGACACCTGGGAACTCTGATGTCCTATCAGATTTCGATGTCTGACAAGAAACTTCTGGAGTCTCTCTACGCCGGCCGTCTGGCCAAGCCCAATCGCTGCAACCAGCACTGCGCGGAAAGCTGTCCTGTCGGTGCTCGTGCGAGCAAAGGCTTCGTTCTGCCAACAAAGACAAGCAGCGTGTGAAACAACACTCGCAGCTCAATGCATCTGCAGACATGCGCCTTGTGCGAGCTTTCAAGTTGGTCTGACGCCTGTCTTGGGTGACTGGCAATGGATTCAGAACTACTCATGCCTGGCTTGGCATCGAAGACAATGTGTCAATGCGAGCAGCTTTCGAAGTGGACGAGGGCTGCTTCGGACTCAAAGCTTGTGTATGGGCGCTGGCAGCACCAATTGGAAGCCCTTGACTCACACTCTGCCGGGTCCAGACGTGTGGCACTCAGACTGGTTGGATCACCGCGGGCCTTGAGTGCAATATGCTCACGAAAGATGCGGTGTCCCTCATCCAGCAGTGGGGCACTGCTGGGTGACGATGTGCAAGCATGCTGGCGCCGCAGCCTGACTCAACCTTCGATGCTAGTGGAATGCAAATGCTGGATGCCCGGTTAGCAGCGATGCCTACTGTGCAGCTCCGGACGGTGGAGGCATTGGACTGATCGTTGAGGCAGCGAAAGCGCTGCAGTATGGACGGTAGGCTTGGAGGAAGGTAAAAGCAACAGTTGTGGCAGGTCAAATGCCACCCAGCCGGCTATGTATCCACATGTGCGTATGTTGACTCCTATACCCTATTGGCCTCCCACCAACTAACATGGAAGTGCACAAACCCCATGTAGAAAGACTACTTTCCTCTTGGAAAGGGTTCTGTGCACTTCCATGTTAGTTGGTGGGAGGATAATCCTCAACCCCATACGCCGAACGCGCTTACGTATACTCGCCAGGCGCCGTCGTCCTTTGCCCGTCGCCTCCGTTCCGCCCTGTGCCGGCGCCAGGACCTCAGTCCGTCCGATGGATGTTGGAACTCTCGAGCCATGGAAACTAATTGGGGCACAAGGAAAGATGGGCACTGTTCCCTTCCCAGCTAGACCTGATATGATAAAACCTAAAGGGGGAGGCCTTCTCACATATTTGTCTTTGATATCTATGATAAAACCTACATGAAAAGGCGACATCTTTCACCCAACAAGAAGGGGGACTGGTTCTACTATACAGTCGTCAACCGGCTCCATGGCGCCCCCAATATCCTTGGCCAGCTATCCACCTGAACATGACCCCCAAAATGCTGGTTTCCTTGTAGTCTGGTGAAAACGGTCATGATTGAAATGCTCAAGTACTGCAAATGCCAGTTGACATGAATCCAAAAAAAAGGCTACGACATCTTCTAATTCCATGTTCTGCATGGAAAGTAGCTGACACAAAATCGGCAACAGGCCCAAGGCTGACAGAATTCCTGTGAGCCCAGAACATCGATGGCCATGTCACATTGCTGGCCCACTGAAACCGTTTTGCTGATGTGCCCAAGAGCAGCTTGGCAGGACGCGAGTGCTTCAGCATTGACCAATCCGAAGAACAAACACATGGATAGCTTGTGCATCCCAGCTGTAGCTCACCTGAACGAGTCGCTGGCATAGTCGATGTTGACTTTGGGCGCGCTCATGACCCCAGTACTTTGCCAGCAAGCATATCAATATGCTTTCGAGAACCAACCAAGTCTAGGCCGTGTAGATGTTGGTTGATATTAGATACAATGCAATATATTATGAAACTATGTTCAAAGGTTCGTTCCCAAACTTCCATACTATGCAACATTGAATTCCAGAGAACAAGCCAGGCAAAGCGCAATGCGAGCGGTGTGCCAAAGCAAAAGCAGGCGATCCCGAAGCGAATAGAGTTGGAAAAAAGTGAAAATAGAAAAGGCGAGATCGCAAGACGAGAGGCAGAACTCCAACTTTAAATTTATACTCTTTTGACCCCAAACCAAGCACGATATGTTTGATGCTGGACCATATTCGGTGCACCTTTCAACGTAAGATAGTTTCGCAAAAGATTCCATGTCTGAACTTTCCCAGAATCAGCTCTGACAAAACTCGCATCAGCTCGACAAGATTTCGTGTTCAACAACATGAACCTCTTCGTACAAAATCTGCGCGTAAGGCAAACAGTCGGGCTTTGAACTTTCTTCCCTGTTGACAGCCAAACACGGTGGTCAACTGTGGTTAAGCCAAAAACTATGAGCCCTCTGAAATGTTGGCAACTGGTGCGGCCGTGCGTGTCGCATGCCATGAAGACTCTGCACCCTTTCGGACCTGAAACAAATCCTTCTGCCGATGGATGTTTTTCCCTTCCTCCCGAAGCAGATCACACCTGCCGCAGGTAGCAGCCCGGGTGCTCTCAGGCGCCGGCAGGGTCAAATCCCGCGTGACCTGGCATTGCAACCGAGGCTTGGAAGGTCCTGACCAAAGGATCCCTAAGGCTGCGCCTTTGGAATGAGGATGTCCAACACGTGGACGAAAGCACTTGCAGCCCATCCCAAATTCATGTACCCAGGCCAGCGATAGCTGAGCTGATCAACTTGCAAGTGCCGAGGTCATAATTCGATGTTTGATCCATAACAGTTGCAGTGCAATCTGCTCACAGTTGCACAAAACTTCATCTGAATGACTCGCCACCAAGAAAAGGCAAGCCTCAAATAACTGCTGCAGCCTTTGCCTCCAACCAAAACAGCCAGATTGATTCTGGTCGACGTATAGTGAACCTGAGAATGTGACATAAATCAAAAAGAGATGCCTCGTGGCGTTGACAAGGTCGCTCGCGATCTTTCTCGAA